CAAAAGGAAGAAACACTCTGTTCTTTCAGCAGTCATTTGAGTTATTATCCACATAACTGGCATAAGCCTCCGTTTTTATTTGGCTTGGCTCACTCAGCTGGGCTAAGATGGATCTTGAGAACAGAACCCTTGTGGCACCTTAGAGATGCTATGAAAGGGTAGGATGTGATCCCTGAACTGAATATTTAGACACAAGGTGTGTGTAAAGAATTTTTTTAAGTTTTTGATTTTAATTCCAGTATAGTTAACATGCCATGTTATATTCGTTTCAGGTACACAGTATAGTGATTCAGCAATTCTATACATTACTCAGTGCTAATCAGAAGTGTACTCTTTTTTTTAAAAAAAAGATTTTATTTATTTGAGAGAGAAAGAATGAGAGACAGAGAGCGCACATGAGAGGGGGGAGGGTCAGAGGGAGAAGCAGACTCCCTGCTGAGCAGGGAGCCCAATGCCGGACTCAATCCTGGGATTCCAGGATCATGACCTGAGCCAAAGGGAGTCGCTTAACCAACTGAGCCACCCAGGCACCCATAAGTGTACTCTTTAATCCCCATCGTCTATTTCCCCCATCCACTGCCCCTCTGGTAACCATCAGTTTGTTCTCTATAGTTAAGAGTCTGTTTCTTGGTTTGTCTTTTTTTTTTCTTTGTTCATTTGTTTTGTTTCTTAAATTCCACATGAGTGAAATCATATGGTATTTCTCTTTCTCTGACTGACTTATTTCACTTAGCATTATACTCTCTAACTCCAGCCATGTTGTTGCAAAAGGCAAGATTTTATTCTTTATTATGACTAAAAAATATTCCGTTGTATATATATACCACATCTTCTTTATCCATTCGTCTATCAGTGCACACTTGGGCTGCTTCCATAGCTTGGCTATTGTAAATAATGCTGCAATAAACATAGGGGTGCATGTATCCCTTTGAATTAGGGCTTTTGTATTTTTGGGGGGTAAATGCCAAGTAGTGCAATTACTGGATCATAGGATAGTTCTATTTTTAACTTTTTGAAGAACCAGTTTGCATTCCCACCAACAGTGCAAGAGAGTTCCTTTTTCTCCAAGTACTCACCAATATTTGTCATTTCCTGTGTTTTTTATTTTAGCCATTCTGACTGGTGTGAGGTAATATCTCATTGTAGTTTTGATTTGCATTTCCCTGGTGATTAGTGACATCGAACATCTTTTCATGTGTCTGTTGGCCATCTGGATGTCTTCTTTGGAGAAATGTCTGTTCATGTCTTCTACCCATTTTTAAATTGGATTATTTGTTTTTTGGGTGTTGTATCAGTTCTTTATATATTTTAGATACTAACCCTTTGTGGGATATGTCATTTGCAAATATCTTCTCCCATTCCATAGGTTGCCTTTTAGTTTTGATTGTTTCCTTTGTTGTGCAGAAGATTTTATTTTGATGTAGTCCCAATAATTTATTTTTGCTTTTATTTCCCTTGCCTCAGGAGACATATCTAGAAAGATGTTGTTATGGCCTGATGTCAGAGAAATTACTGACTGTGCTCTCTTCTAGGATTTTTATGGTTTCAGGTCTCACATGTAGGTCTTTTATCCATTTTGAGTTTATTTTTGTGTATGGTGAAAGAAGGTGGTCCAGTTTCATTCTTTTGCATGTAGCTGTCCAGTTTTCCCAACACCATTTGTTGAGGAGACTTTTTCCCAATGTATATTCTTTCCTCCTTTGTCAAAGATTAATTGACCATATAATTATGGATTTATTTATGGGTTTTCTCTTCTGTTCTATTGATCTATATGTCTGTTTTGTGCCAGAACCATATTGTTTTACTTACTACAGTTTTGTAATAGAACTTGAAGTCTGAAATTGTGATACCCCCAGTTTTGTCTTTCTTTTTCAAAATGTCTTTACTAGTCAGGGTCTTTTGTGGTTTCATGTAAATTTTAATATTATTTGCTCTAGTTCTGTGAAAAATGCTGTTGGTTTTTTGATACGGATTGCATTAAATGTGTAGATTGCTTTGGGTAATATAGACATTTTAATAATATTCTTTCAATCCATGAGCATGGAATGCCTTTCCCTTTCTTTGTGTCCTCTTTAATTCTTCATCATTGTTTTATAGTTTTCAGAGTACAGGTCTTTCATCTCTTTGGTTAAGTTTATTCATAGGTATTTTATTATTTTTGGTGCAGTTGTAAATGGGATTGTTTTTGTAAACAAATGTTTATGTATGCAAGTGGAACGTGGGCAAATGTTTTCTTCTTTCAACTTGCACTGGTAGAAAGTGAGTAAAGGTCTTGCTTTGGATAGTGTAAAGTATCAGACACAAGAGAATATGGCCAAATGCTGCTGTTCACAAGATATATCCCCCCACAGAAGTTTACATTTTACTCAATATGCTGAGTCCTGCCCTCCCCCAAAAAGAGAAAGCAGGCAATTTGCCTTAAATGAACATAAACAAATAAACCCCTCAAGTCTAGCAAATCTGAAAAGGCACCCCATGGACCTAAAGGTCTGCTGGAAAATGATTATGTGTTGGGTTGGAAGAAGGCAGAAGGCTTGAGCAGGGCTCCATGTAGAGCATTTTGCTGCAAACTGACAACAAGCCTGGGATCCGCTATCCTGAGACAGCCATGGACAAGCATGTGTTCTGTCAGTGCCCACTTCAGGCAACATCTGGTGATGTGGGAAGTGGGGCTAGTTTTAGTTGGTAGGGAAGCATTATCAGAAAAAAAAAAAGAGAGCAAGGCCCTGGGCACATGAGACTATCTTCAGGAGGGAACTAGGGTGTTTTTCCTAGGACTCCTGAGACTGAGCTTTGAGGAAAAAGCCACCACGATCATCTAACATTCACTTAAAACTCCACTTTTGCACTTTTGAATCAATTGGAGAAAGTTGAGATAAATCACAGTACTATTAAATGATCAGAGGTGAAAGGATCTTAAAGATTATCTAATTCAACCTCTTACAAGAAACAGAGAAATGACTTATCTACCATCATACAACCAGGGTCAAAGCCATAATCCAGGTTTCCTAGTGTCTACTCCAGTGCTGCTTCTACAAGCCACACCCCTACTCCCATTTTTTTGTTTTGTTTTGTTTTTTGTTTTAAGGTGAGCTCTACACCCAACACGCGGCTTGAACTCAGACCCTGAGAGCAAGAGTCGCATGCTCTACCGACTGAGCCAGGAGACATCCCTCCCATGTTATTTTTTGAGGTGCTAAGGAATGCAAGGCTCTCGCTGCTGCTATTATATTAAAAATCAGGATAAAGGAAGCACACAGTGGAGATATACATAGCCTCCCCCATATGTTCTCTGTTTCCCCTGCTTCTTTAAAAAAAGTAAACATTTAAAAGCCCATTCTGGGCGCCTGGGTGGCTCAGTTGGTTAAGCGACTGCCTTCAGCTCAGGTCATGATCCTGGAGTCCCGGGATCGAGTCCCGCATCGGGCTCCCTGCTCAGCAGGGGGTCTGCTTCTCCCTCTGATCCCCTTCCCTCTTGTGCTCTCTGTCTCATTCTCTCTCTCAAATAAATAAATAAAAAATTTAAAAAACTAAAAAATAAAAAAAATAAAAGTCCATTCCTCTGTTAGCCACACAAGATGGAACATCTGTAGAACCTATCTGTAGAACCTATCTCTTTTGGGCAAGCTGACTAGCTGATGCACTAGAGTGGAAACTCCCATGGAAATTTCTCTTAGAAGGAAACAGATGGTTCTCCGGGGACTAGTTCTAAACACAATATTGAACATTTACTACAGAAAGGAGAACATTTTTTCTAATAATATTTCTAAAAAGTTTCCCTGAAACTTTTTTACCTTTAGTCTTATTTATTTCTTAGTAGAGCCTAATACTCTCAAAAATCCTGGATGTTCATTCCACATTAGATGTAGGTCTGTCTTGCTTGCTTTGGATTAATTTGATTTGGGAAAGGAGGGGGTAATTTTCCATTCTTCAGACAACAGCTCACTTCTACACATTGTCTCCTACTCTTACATCCTCCTATCAAATTGTAGGCATGAGGAATTTCCAAGATGTTAATTTGGCCACCAGGCATGCTCATTGATTTATATAGCTTCTGACTTCAGTATATTTACAGGCCCCTAAATCCAGAAGGGCTCTTATTTTTGTCCCTGAAAGATGTTTCTGTGAGTAGATACCTGTTTCTAAACTGACATCCATCTGTTATCTCTGGTTGGGTGCTCACAAGCTATCAATAAACATACAAGAAAAACACCTGGTTAGAATTTACCATCTGCCATTTTTGCTTCCACGCTGGAGAATTAGGCAGTTTACTGCAATAGGGTTTGATAAAGGAGGGTGGAGGATGATTTAAAAAATTCAATCATAATGAATATCAGATCCATCCAACATAGTTTGAAATCTACCAGAACAGGGGCACCTGGCTGGCTCAATCAGCAGAGCATGTGACCGGATCTCAGGGTCGTGAGTTCAAGCCCCACGTTGGGTGTAGAGCCTACTTAAGGGAGGAAGGAAGGAAAGGAAGGGAAGGGAAGGGAAGGGAAGGGGAGGGGAGGGGAGGGGAGGGGACGGGAGGGGACGGGAGGGGAGGGGAGGGGAGGGAAGGAAGGGAAGGGAAGGAAGGGAAGGGAAGGGAAGGGAAGGGAAGGGAAGGGAAGGGATCTACCAGAATAACTCTAGCAGTTACAAACACAGCTTATATAAGTACAGGCTATATGGGGGTAAAATTCTATCACCTCTTTTCTGATTCTAAAGCAGGAACTTACACAAGAAGGCTTGCTTGAGTGAAGTTCCTATGTTCATGTATCCTCTTTCTAATCAGTACTTGCTCTAGGTGCAGCCATCCAGGGTTGGCAGCTGTGTGTTTTCATATGAAGAATATTGCATGCTTTGAGACCTTAGTGTGTGAAGAGCAGAATGGTGAGGAGGTCAGCATTTCATAAGGAAGGCCTCACCTAAACTGACCAGTGGTGACTTCCAGGCTTCTGTGGGAATGAAAGCCTTATAGGTATTGAGGTAATGGTGGGCCTGCCTTATTACAGGAAGCTGGAGACAACAACCAGTTCTGTTGGAGGAACCTCTTTTCCTGCATTAACCTTCTGAGGCTGCTCAATAAACTGACCAAATGGAAGCATTCCAGAACCATGGTGAGTGGGGCTTCAGATCATAGAGGTGTCCATCTGACCGAATTTTTTTAATCTTAAATATTTATGGACTTCCTGCTTTGTGAGCTCTATAGATAGACAATGAATGCTACATAAGGTGAACACCTAATTCTGGGTATTTAATCTATATGAGATAATTATTCACCAGTCCATTTCTTTACAAGGAGCTGAATAGGACCCTCCCACAGGGCCGCTCTGGTTAGAAAGTTAGCATTGTTGTTTGGATTACAAACACACATCCCAAATGATGCAAGTCTAAGATTATTCATTGCAGCATGAATCATGAACGATTGGAAACGATCTAAAGCCTATTAATACAGGACCAACTGGTTAAATAATTTTGGTACATCCTTATAATAGAATATTATACAACCATTAAAAAGAATGAGGCAGGAAAAAAAAGGAATGAGGCAGTTCTATATTGATACGGAATAATTTTTAAGATATATTGTTAAATAAAAAGCAAGGTATGGAACAATGTGCCAGGATATGTAGTTGGCTGTGGTTTTTGTTAATAAAAATAATATACGTGTATATAGAATTATGTACCCAGAAGATACATAAGAAACTGATAACAGTAGAAATGGGATGAGTGTTTGACATAGTTAATTTGCTCTTTATATCACATACTTTGAATATTAGAAACTTTGAATTGTGACATATAATTGTGACATCTAAATATAAATAGAACCTGAACCATAGATTCCCAAAAGCTCCCCCAGGGCATTAAGACCAGTCAGGTTTGGCTTAATTTGTTTGTGAGTTGGAAGTTCCAAGAAACTTTAGATCCTTATCTGCCTTTCTTCACTCTCACCCCTCTTTAAATGGGTAGATGCTGGTGGTATTCAAATCAGCTCCAATCTTAAAGCGAGCCCTCAAGGTCAAACAGGCCATGCTGCAACTTTATGTTCTGAAGCTGCTAAAAATACAGACCAAGTACCTGGGGCGCCAGTGGAGGAAAAGTAACATGAAAACCATGTCAGCCATCTATCAGAAAGTACGCCACCGCATGAATGATGACTGGGCTTATGGGAATGGTGAGTATTCTCAGAGCTCTTGACCTCCAGGAGTTGCCCAGGGTTTAAACAAAACTAAATAAGGGGCACCTGGGCGGCTCGGTTGGTTAAGCATCTGCCTTCGCTCAGGTCCTGATCTCAGGGTCCTGGGATCGAGCCCCTCCCACTCCTCTGCCGGGCTCCATGCTCAGTGGGGAGTCTGTTTCTCCCTCTCCCTTTGCCCCTCCCTCCCCACCTCTCGTGATTTCTCTCACTCTCATGCTATCTCTCGAATAAATAAAATCTTAAAAAAAATAAAACTAAATAAACATTTATCTCTACTCTTTTGGTATGAATTGTTACATAGTTTGGATGAGAAAATATGTATGTAATTATAGTCAGGTGCTGATGTAACAAACTTTAGGGTTACTGTCCCAAATTCTAGCATGGGCCCTAGTCCTATATTAACTATAAAAATCAATTTCAGGGTGGCTCAGTTGGTTTAGCATCCAACTCTTGGTTTTGGCTCAGGTCATGATCTCATGGTCGTGGGATCAAGCCCCATGTGGGACTCCACTCTCAGCAGAGAATCTGCTTGAGATCCTCTTCCTCTGCCCCTCTCCCCACTTGCACATGCATGTGTGGGCTCTCTTTAAAATAAATAAATAAATCTTTTTTAAGAATCCATTTTATAGGGGCACCTGGCTGGCTGGCTCAGTCAATAAAACATGCAACTAGTGATCTCAGTGTTGTGAGTCCAAGCCCCACATTGGGGGTAGAATTTGCTTAAAAAAATTTCCATTTTATAAAACAAGTAAATTAAGAGATAACTACCTCCTTTTGAAAACATTCCTTTAAATGACAGGTTTCTCCAAGAGATTTCTAAAATTAAAATAACCTTTTATTATTAAAAAGCAGTTAGAAAAAGGAAAAAAAACAAACAGCTTTCCCTGCTGGCTCAGTCGGAAGAGCACATGACTCTTGATCTCAGGGTTGTGAGTTCGAGCCCCAAGTTGAATGTAGAGATTACTTAAATAAATAAACTTAAAAAAAAAAAAAAAGGCAGTTAGAAAATACAAGTCAGAAAACTTTTTATTGTATCACCATATTTATGCCTTATTTGTACCACCGGCAGATTGCCACTGTTAACATCTTATTGTATATTTTTCCAGACCTTTTTCTTTGCATATATGCACATTTTACTTAAATGATAGCACATTATACATACTATTTCATTATTTTTTTTCAGTTAACATTATCTACATCTTTCCATATCAGTATGTTTTCATTTTATCTAGTAAGTCCATATTCAGAATTCCCCAGTTGTCCCAAAATGTTCTCTTTTTGTAAGTTTTATTTATTTAAGTAATCTCCACACCCAATGTGGGGTTCAGTTTCACGACCCCATGATCAAGAGTCACACACTCTTCTGACTGAGCCAGCCAGGCACCCCCCAAAATGTTCTTTAAAGCTATTTTTTCAAGTCATAATCCAACCCAGGGCCACAAATTTCATCTGGTTGTTCTATCCTTTAATTGGTTAAACCTAGTAGTGTTTTGTTTTCACTTTTTTTCCATAATGCTGACAAATTGAAAAACTAGGCCAGTTGTCCTGCTGAATATCCACCTTCTGGATTTAGAAATGGCATCATTTACCTTATCTCTCTATCTCTGGTATTACTAGTAAACTGAAAGTTAGATCCGGAGGTTTGATGGATTCAGTTTAAACATTTTCAGCTATAATACATTTGAGGTACCATTGGGAACTGCATGTTGTCTCACATTAGGAGACATTATAATATCTGGTTGACCACCAAGATATGATAGATTAACCAAGTTTGGAAGAATTTATTCTGGAGAGCTTTTCCATTGTACTGATATTTGCTGTAGTGGGATTTGACCATTATTTGCATAATTGTATTTAAGAGTTTTTGGTAAAGATAACTAAAGACTTGTCTTTGCTGAGGTTTGTAACCTGCCTAAATTTTAGACAATGCTGAGGTAAAGAACCCACAAAAGTAAAGGAAATATATGATTGGCAGATAACAAGCCAGGATGCAACTTCTATGAGACATAAAGCCAATTAACTATTTAAATTCTTATAGATTTTTAAAACATGCAGATGTTTTATCCTGCAAATGGCATAACGTGTCGCTGCCATCATGAACCCAAACCCAATCTACACTTCCTTAAGATAAACCATTAAGGGGCACCTGGCTGACTCAGTCAGTAGGGCATGTGACCCTTGATCCTGGGGTCATGAGTTCAAGCCCCATATTGGATGTAGAGATTACTTAAAAAAATAAAATCTTTTTTTTTTTTTTAAGATTTTATTTGACAGAGAGAGCTCACAAGCAGGGGGAGCAGCAGACAGAGGGAGAGGGAGAAGCAGGCTCCCCGCTGAGCAGGGAGCCCAATGACGCAGGGCTCGATCCCAGGACCTGAGCTGAAGACAGGTGCTTAGCCAACTGAGCCACTCAGGTGCCCCCAAAATAAAATCGTCAAAAAAAAAAAAAAAAGATAAACCATTGAGTGTGGGACATAAGAAATCTGGGAAAGCTGTATCTCTAGCCCTGAAGTAAGTGTCTGAGTAGGATAAATAGAAGAAAGCAGATTATCTGTTTTCTGTTTTTACCTTCATGGAAGCTCTCACCTCATAATTTTAACATACACTGACACATACATTTATCATATGCTGGGAGAGGTCACAGGTAATCAGTAAAGTCTTCAGTACTTGGTCCATTCTGATTCTCCTTGTTGTACCTCTTCTTGCCTCTTTCCATTCCTTGAGAGCTCGTGATTCCATTCAAATGGGTAACTCCCCTACCCTAGGAAAGCTCAATAAAAGGAATTGAGTTGCCATTTTGAAAAACATAATAACATATAACTAGTAAGAAAGTGAAATAATGAAAAGGAAGTACAGTAAAAAAAAAAGAAGTCCACCTCCCTCAGGGGCCTTATTTCCTTCTCAGTAGTAATCACTGTTAGCAGTTTCTAGACTACCTTTCCAAAGATAGTCTCTGCATATACAAGTGTATTTTTTAAACTGAAGTGACAGCATATTATACACTTACTTTGTACATTGCCCTCCACAAAAAGGAAATTCTGAGCAGCTTCATTGTTCTTATCCCATAGACCATACTCTGTGGTAAGAGGAGCAGAGTCCTGAGTTGTATACATGTTCTTCTTCCTCTCTTCCCAACACAGACATCGATGCCAGGCCATGGGACTTCCAAGCAGAAGAATGCACCTTGAGGGCCAACATCGAGGCTTTTAACAGCCGCCGGTATGACAAACCCCAGGACTCTGAATTTTCACCCGTGGATAACTGCTTGCAGAGTGTGCTGGGGCAGAGGTTGGATCTGCCTGAGGATTTCCACTATTCATATGAGCTCTGGCTGGAGAGAGAGGTGTTTTCACAGCCCATCTGTTGGGAGGAGCTGCTCCAGAATCACTGACTGAGCTCTTAACAACAAAACATCTGATAGATGGGGTTTGGCTCCAATAAATGGTGCTCTGCCTACCCTGCCCATTCAGCCTTTGTTTCCAGGTCTGGGAGTGCTTGTCCAGGGGAAAGCTGGCCTAGCCTAAGGACGTCCAGTGTAGTGCAGGGCCATTCTGGGGGCTTTGGGCCTGGTGATAGTGCAAGGCTAGGATCCTGAGTCACAACAAATTGGTCAGCTTGCACTGGGGTCAGTTGGGTGCCCAGTTGGCCTTGAAAATCTACTGGATCAGTCCTGGACAGGCTCTTTTGTGGGACTGCTCCCTGCTTTAGTCTTGCCCAGAACCAGGCTAGCCTTTGCTGACCCCAAGAGTGAGAATAAGTTTATTATGGCATTTGACCCATGACATTCATCATAGGTAATGGGAGAGACAAGTCATAAAATAGGGAGAACATTTCCTTCTTGCTTACCCTGGATTCCTAGGACTTAAAAGAGGTTTGGCAAAGCCATCTTTGAAATTAAGTCTGTATTTTAAATTAAAAATTTTGACACCTCTTTCTAAAATTATTAGCTCAAAGATGATTTTAGAGCACCTGCACCTTCTTTGTAAAGGATGATGATTTTACCATTACCTAAATACTGCATATGTTATAGTAAGGTATATTGTGTAAAGTGTTTTCTTCTCTACTCCTGAAGAGATCTATGTTCAGTCTGAGAGTTATTTCTCTGTGTATTGTGTACAGGGCTTGCAGTGCTCTGCCACAGCCAGTCTGAAATAGGCCTCCTCTAAGGATGCTTCATGTTTTTCTGACTACTTCAGTCTTCAAATGACTGACTACACTGTAAAAAATTATCCTTTTCATCCAATTCATTTTTTAAATGACAAGTAACTACAGGAGGTTTTATTTATTGAGATGGCTATGTCCATTTGTGCTCATGATCGATTTATTTTTTAATTGAATAGAATAGCAAGAGCATCACAGCTTACCATTTTTCTATGTTGATCAATGATTTTTTTTCCCTTTTTACTGCAAGTACTTTCAAAGTGTCGTATGGAGATTTAGCAATATACTGTTCCTACCTAAAAGTATTGCACACTTCTTTGAAAATACAGGGGTTGATGTATCAACCTCTTTAAACTTCTTTTACAGCAGAATCACTTATTTGTCAGTTAAGCGTCTGACTCTTGATTTTGACTTGGGTCATGATCTCAGGGTCATGAGCTGGATCTGCGTCCCCACATCCGGCTGGGCTCTGCGCTCACTGGGGAGTCTGCTTGAGATTCTCTCTCTTCCTCTGTCCCTCCCCCTACTCCATACATACTCTGTCTCTCTAATGAATAAATCTTTAAAAAAAAATCACATACTTCTCAACAGAAACAAGGTTTTTAGAAAAGCTTCTGATTCGATCAGGATCATTTTATTTCTCTTCTGTCCCCACAATTATGTCATCTATATTTTCAAGCTTTTTTATTTTAAGTGCCCTCCCCCCTGGCATAGACACTACTGAATCTTTTTTATGATAACACCAGGCCACTTTAATTGTGCCAGGAGGTCTAGTAAAAAATGGCTTACTCTGTCAACCACAGTTCATTTGGAAGTCACGGTACAGTTATTAATGATATCCAAAGGAACTAGACCGGAACTCGAACTAAAGCTTGGATTTTACCTTTTTGAGCTTTAAGGTAGCAGGACTTCTGTTTTTATGGAAAGGTGATGAAGAATATAAGTATGTAATGGATGACACTTCTTACAATAATTTGTAAATTTTACCTGAGTAGGACAGCTGTCCTCGCTGCAATCAAAGTAATTCACTGAGCATATCTATGAACCCTATTAATCTATTTTAATGTGGTTTAACTGAAAAGACAATTTTCAAGGAAAGAGCAGTCATCAATCTATTTCTCTTAAAGCCATGTAGTATTTAATTTGTGTCAAGAACAAATAAGTTGCCCTTTTAAAAATATGCACATGAATGCTTTCTGAGGCATAGAAGTATGCTAAGCTTTAACATTTCATACTTTTTTACAAGTCTTCTCTTAAGGGAAGATTAATTCTCAGTGCAGATGGAGAAACTGAGATACCAAGAAAAGTGATTAGTTTCAAATCACAGCCTTTTTTTGCTGACTTGCTGGGATAGCATTCAGGTATTGACAGCCAGCCCCATATGTTAAAGTAACTGATTTGAATCTTCCAATTTGAGAAGCCATGTGTGTGGTTAGGAATAAATTCAGATTAACCAACCTCCAATGGTGATTACTGTTACTACTTAGAAGGACATTATTTGAGATTTATAAAGGATTTTTATTTGTGAATACTTCAGTAAAGTTTGTGTTGTTGATAACACTGTTTATCTACTGAAAGCACTTTAATAAAAAATTGAACTGGAGTTAGAAATTTGGTCTTTAATTCAACATGAAAGAATCTTAAAGACAGATATAGAAAGGAATAATATATAAAGAAGATGAATATATAAAATATTGTGTAGTATTCCCTGGGGGTAGACTAATATAAACACAACTGCAATGAAGGCTTATGACAAACCTTTATTTCTTGTTTCTGGGTCTGGGGATCAGGTGCAGCTCTGCTCCACTCAGGTTAACTTGCTAGATTTAGCTCTGCTCCACACATCATCTTATTCTGGCATGAGGCTGATGGACTAGCTCCTGCCTGGGACATAATACTATTCTCATGGTAAAGGGCAGAAGCAAGCACCAAACCATACCATGCAAGCACCTGGAGGGGGCTTAAAGCTCCTGCTTGGATGTGGCATAAGTCAAATTGCTCATACTCCATTGGCAAAAAGCCATTCACATGGGGCAAGCCTAACACTGGGCCAGAGAAGTACATTCTACCTACGGAAGGCAGTTGCCACCAGGCATGTGGGTAGACAGTGAGTCCCAGCAGCTTCTCAGTGAGCTTTTGAGATTGGTGGTAGGGCTTTCTTAGAGATTCTTGAGAATTTCCACAGCTTTCCAGTTTGCATTCGAAACCACCCATTTTTCAGTGCTTTATGCTGATATTTTCAGTTGTGACTTTCTTGACTTTTGTGTCCATCGTACCCCCAGCTCTTCATCTAACAATAATCTTGGTTCTATAAAGACAGTTCTATAAACGAATGAGTCTCTTTCTCTCCCACAAGTAGTTGTGATGAGTTTGAAGTCTTTCCTCTAGGCCTTCTTGAGATGACCTATATTTGCAATAAAACTAGCTGAGACTAAAAATGCAGCTGTAGTTCTGGAACAAAAATGACACTGGTTCATACAACCATCCGACTTGTGACCTTGATCTCATCGATGCTATTATTGATGAGCTAAATAACCACCTTAATATCCAGGCGAGGTCAAGTATGAACTTGGCAACTCTTTGGCGCTCTGCGAAGGTTCTAAGTATGTTTAGGGTAATTTGCAGAGGCAAAGAAGGTCCTGCCACTATCTCAGAAATACCGGGCATGGTCAATTAACATCTGCTCTACGTATACTCTAATTCCCGGCCAGACTTTTCTGTAATGGTATGATAAAATGTTTTCTGTAATAAAAATGTCTTACAAAATATTATGGAATTTATAAACAACTTTTGTGCAACACCAGTAGGTTTTAGAGCAGCTACTGCTATTCTTACATGTATTCAATACTAATACATATTTTAGCGGATATTTTAAGTGTTGCTTTTCAACATGAGAGACATCAAATACATACATAAAATATATTTTAGAGTAAAAAGGTCTCCAGCATGATTTTATTCTCTATACATTAAATAAAACTTTTGTCTGCCTCTGGGCCTCCTGCTTTCTCATTTTCTCTTAACCAAAAAAAAAAAAAAAAAGAATATAGTGATAGTGAAGAAAATTGCCTCCCGTATAACCCCACCACTCAACAATGAGCCATTTATATGATAGCAGTTTAACAATATAAGGAACTGTGTAACCTCTAAAATAGGGTAGAACAAAGGGAGAGATCAAAGCACTGTCTGTATTGGCAGAGCATTTTGTACAGCAACATGCAAATACTTTTGGAAATGTTGGCATGGGTAAGTCCTAACTGGTGGTTTTTGGGAAAGCACATGAGCTATTTTACTCATTTTTTCCACTAATGAATTTTCAGTGGCCTCTGGTATTCCTTAAGTCCTGGTATGGAAAGTTTATAGAAGGTAAGTCCTGAGTACCTTATACTTTCAAACACCTTTTCCAGGTGAATGCATTTTCTAAATGTTTGGCTATTCTAATGTTAGCCTTAAAATGTTAAACCTCAATATTTGGAAGATTTTTCACGGAAATGTATTCTTGAGTTGAAGGGATCAGATCATCTAAGACAGTCTCCATCCAACGCAAGAATTCCTTTAATTAGTATCAGCTATGTGTTTATCTAGCCTCTAATCTTTTCACTGACAGTAATCTCACTATGTCATAGATTCAGTAGTAATAACTGAAATGTCTACAAAAGAATTAACTACCTCAATACAATCAACTTATGGTATTATTTGAGCCAGAAGAAACATGAATACATTTATGGAATCCAAACAACTGACATTAACTATGAATTGTACTTTCTTCCCCACTGTATTCATTTCCCAGGGCTGCTGTAACAAGTTACCAGAAACTGGGTGGCTTAAAACAAGAAAAATGTATTCTCTCACAGTTACAGGGGCCAGAAGTCTGAAATCAAGGTGTCAGCAGGACTCACTCCCTCCAAAGTCTCTAATCATTTCCTTGCCTCTTCTAGCTTCTGGCGGCTTCTGGCTTCATGTCACTCCAACTTCTGCCTCCGCGGTCACATTGCTTCCTCCTCTTCTGTCTCAAAAGTCCCTCTGCTTCTCTCTTCTAAGGGTACCTCTGATTGATTTGAAGACCCGTCAGGATAATCCCAGGTAAGCTTTCCTCAAGAGCCTTCATTACATCTTTGCCATATAAGGTAGTAGTCACTCTTTTGCTATTAAGGTAGTATTCACAGTTTTTGAGGATAAGGACATGGACATATCTTTTGGGAGGCCACCATTCAACCCACTACACCCACTAACAATCATCAGACATGTAGTAGCAAAATTGATTAATTTACTCTTCTATCATTATTAGAGGTGTAAGGCAAGTCCTGAAGGAAGTTACTTTGAAAGATGCTTGCAGCTATTGATGTAGTCAAAGAAGATTCAAGTAAAGAAAGTTTCAGGCTTAGGTAGAGGATTCGACATAAGGAAGCAGATGTAAATTGAAGAATACATTTAGGTATTGGCATTTTTGTTTTTTGTTTTTTTTAAGATTTTTAAAATTTATTTATTTGACAGAGACACAGTGAGAGAGGGAGCACAAGCAGGGGGAATCAGAGAGGGAGAAGCAGGCTTCCCGCCAAGCAGGGAGCCCAATGTGGGGCTCGATCCCAGGACCCTGGGATCATGACCTGAGCCGAAGGCAGACGCTTAACGACTGAGCCACCCAGGCGCCCCCAGTATTTTTTTCATACATGGGAGCACAACATATATACTTGCTTTTATCATATTTATCCCGGAGACCTATCTTTCCATATTAATATTTTCTTGAATAAATAAATAATCAAATCATTCTTCTCTAACACTGCTTTAAAGTATGTTTCAGTTAAGAAGAAAGGGTATAGGTGGGAAGAATGGTGTGTGTACGCCCACACATGCATGTATATGTGTGTGTGGTGGTGGGGATGAGGTCAAGGGAGATTTACTCAGTTCTCATAGCAATAGGCCAAAGCGATTTGAAATATAATTTCCTAACAGAAGCTCTGGACATTCAGACTCCCAGATCCTGTAAATGTAATGAGATTGTGCCTGAGTGGGCTATGGGGAGGTTTTTAGGCTGTTTGCTCCTTTACTAATTAGCCAGATTTAAATTTCAAAAAGCAAGGACTTTAAATTTTTACTTTTACATATTTTATAGAAAATAACCAAAGTCTTTCTAAGGAACTACAAGAGTACAAAAGTCATCCCATCTCTGCTCAAACACCTTTGGTGACAGTGACTTCCTTACTAAATATGACAATACCATCTGTCCCCTTGCCTCCAAATGGAAACATTAGTTTGAACATTCTGTAACTTTTTGTTCAAATGCTTAATGGAGCTGGCAGGACAAAGATCCTCCATGTGGACGCCTGTGAAAATATGTCTTCACAGTAAGATGTGAGAAAGTTTACCCAGAAAGGCCATAGAGCATAACGGCTCAGATTGAGGGTGCTCAACCCAACTTGGTGAGATATGCTATGCAGGCTCTGCATCTATTAGCTGTCTGAAGAATGACAAGTTCTCTCCTCTCTCTCTGCCTCAGATTCCCCATCTGTAAAATAGGGATAATACTACTTACCTACCTTCTAGAATTGTAAGGATTAAATGAGTCGATGTTCATATAGTGCTTAGAATAATGCTTGCTAAACGCGAGCATTCAATAATTGCTGATTACTATTATTTCCCACGTCATTCCCCTCCCTATCAAAGAATACCCAGCAAGAATAATTAATAGCATTTTAATTCTCTAGTCCAGGAATCAGCAAACTACAGCCCAGGGGCTAAATCTGGCCCACTGGCAGGTTTTATACATACAGCCCATGAGCTCAGTAAGAATGGTTTTTACATTCTTAAGTGGCTGGGGGAAAAAAATCCATGAAAGAAAAAGATTTTATGACACATGAAAATTCTATAAAATTCTAATTCAGTTTCCACGATAGTTTTATTGGATCACAGCCATGCTCACTCGTTTGCATGTTGTCTATACATGCTTTCATTCTACATCAGCTGAGTCGTTGCAAAAGAGGACATAAGGCCTGAAAAGCCTTAAGTTACTGAGTTTGCCGACCCTTACTCTAGATAATTTTGTCTTCTGTCCGCTCCAGCTGGTCTTTACTGCACCCCAAGGTTCTCACTGCTGGGACCCTAGGGGCTGGCCAGAGGAAATTACCTACAAAGAACATTTTATTTTTTCTGTAACTTCCTCTACAATATTAGAGCTATAAAGGATGAAGTGAGTGCAGTGCTATACTGTTGAACTTAATGAACTAAAAAGAAAGGAAGAGAGGGAGGGACCAGAGTAGAAAGGAGGAAATCAGAGTTTTTAAATGCAACTTCTAAGAAAGATAATGATAGAATATTCTAAGTTTGGATGTTCTAAGAATGCATGCTTCAATTCTGGCAATGTTATTTTTTTTAAAGAACAGCACAGTTTGTATTACTATTTATAAAGGAGACATAAGGATGTATATTCATAAACAGATAAAATTAAGTAGTACTATTCTTTTCTTTTGCAAGTTTTTTTTTTTTTTAAGTAATCTCTACACCCAACGTGGGGCTCGAACTCACGACCCCGAGATCAAGTCACATGCTCTTCCGACTGAGCCATCCAGGTCCCCCACCAGTGCTATTCTAATGTGAATTTGAATAGTTATCTAAATTTAACTCATCTTCCAGTTTACACAGGAAAATTTGTTCAGTTCTTACAGAATAAACATAAGATTCTTAAGTCTTAAACATTACATGATTCTTAAGTGGACTGATATTTAAGAAAAAATGCCTGTGTTATCAATGACTTTTTTTTTCTAACAGCAACCTGCACTGTGTTATATAACAAAGTCTGTCTGTCAGCCCCACATCTCAGCAGCCCTCCTCCTTTCCCTGCAGGTCAGTGCGAAGCCTTTCTCTAGTGCAAAGGCTGAAGATCCACTTGATCAACGGAAAATGGTGCTGCCACTGAAATTGTTCCGATTGTCACTAGACCACTTTATGTCCTGCCTGTCTACTGACAAAGCATGCTTTCTTGTGCTTTATAGCTTTTTTTTTTTTTCAGCTTTATTGGGGGTATAACATCCAAAACTGTAATATATTTAAAGTGTACATGTGATGACTTGACACGCATATACATTGTGAAAGAATTACCACAATTAACACATTCATCACCTCAATTTTATATATGAGAACACTTAAGTTCCACTCTTAGCAATTTTCAACTATACAATACAGTATTATTAACTATAGTCATCATGTTATACATTAGACCTCATTCATCTTATAACTGGAAGTTTGTACATTTTTGCCAGCCTCTCCCCATTCCATTTTCCCTAATCCACAAATTTATATCCTTGAAAGCAAGGCTTACTGGAGATACTTTGAATTCACAAAGCATTTTCACCTGCATTCCATCATAAATTCCTTTATGGAGCCTCCCCTTGACATTGTCATCACCTTCACAGTAACCCAAAGCAAGAAAGTGAAGCTCAGAGAATTGCCCAAAATTGCATGACTAGTAAGTAGTAAGGCCAAGTTTTGAACCCACATCTTCTGGCCTCACGCCCGGGGTGTCTTCCTGAATGATTTTAGTGTTTAACAGCACCAGCTGGACAGATGGACAGAGCTGCCTTTGACTCTGCTTGTGTGAACTTGGGCAAGTTACTTACTCTCTCTGGCCTCGAGCAAACTGGAGAACATAATGGAAACTACCACACTAGTTGTAGGGAAGTAATGATGCCATGATGTGTGTGAAGTGCTCAACAAGGCGCTTGACATCAGCGCTCCTTCAGTGTTAACTAATATCTGCAATATGAAATGAAGGTCTAGTTTAGAATGATGACAACGTCAAGGGGAGGTTCCGATGCTCAGGCCTTGGACTCAGCATTGGAGAGAGGAGTTAGAGATGACGGAGGGCAAGAGACTGGGAGAGCAGTGTTGCCACTGACAATGGAAACTCAGCGGCTCACAGAGGGAGAGATGCCCTCAGTCCAGAGAATAGTGCGGCCTGAAGACTGGAGCTCAAATGGAGGCCATTCTTTCTGCTGGGGGCTGTGTCATCCCAAGAGAGGTAGTCACTGACATTATCAGATGAGCCGGCAGGTGAGGAGACACGGAGGCAACAACAGCAGAGAACTGAAGACGGGACTTGGAGATCAGCCAGCACTTGGAATGCAGCAGGAGGCAGACAGACATGAGATGACTAAGTGACGTCCGGATGTAATGCACAGATCAGAAGCAAGTGGGGAGACTTAGAGGAGGAGGAGGGGAAGAGGAGAGCAACACTGACTTAGGCTCAGACATCCATGAGAACGAAGAAGTGGCCAGGCTTGCTAGAATGAACGGGATACTTCTACTGGATCATGGCCATTAGTCCACTAACGTCTCTCACTACCGCCGAGGCATACAAAAACGAGTCTAAAAAAGGTTGCTCACCCTGGAGAACACAAGTAAACATCTATCGGGATGAACTCCCAGAGCTGGAAACGGAACTGCACCTGCTGTGTAGCCTTCCTTACTCCCGTTCGGGGCCTAACCACCTTTTTTCGGGCCTTTACTCTCTTGGGGCCTGTACCGGCTCTTTATGAACATTTTCCCGGGATTTTTTTTTCCCCCCACTTCAAATCTCAAAGGCTGTATGTCATTTCCCAAAAAAAGGGCCCGGAGTCTTCGACGACTTCTCCAAGCTCAGCCAGTGAGTGGCCGGGCTCCTACGGCGGAACCGGCCCCCTCCAAGCCCACGAACCGCACCCGCCCGAGCACCGCCCGGTTCCGCCCCCCAGCGCGAGCCTGGGCTTCCGGGCACTCGCGGCCGTCGTCGCCGTCGCGCGAGGTGAGCTGGCCCAGCCAGCGCGGCGAGGCCGGCGGGGGACCGCGGACGGACTGCCCCGCCGGGCGCAACGGCTGGGCGCCGGGCCCCGGTGTCCCGGCAACAGGTAAACACCGCGCGGCCCCGCCCCCCGCGGCGCGCGCCGCCCCGCCCCCCGCGGCGCGCGCCGCCCGGCGTTTGTGCGCGCGGCCCCGCCGGCGCCCGCGAGCCCGGCGCCCCCCGCCCAGTCCCCGGGGCGTGCTCGCCGTGGGTCACGCGGCCCGCGGCCTCCGTGCGGTGGGTGCCCAGGCTCCGCGTGGCGGCGGCTGGGTGGCTGGCTGCCCCTCACCCCGCCGGGCTGCCCTGAGCGGCTCGGGCTCCTGAGAAGCGTGGCGAGGCCCCGGGCCTGCGACGGTTCGCCGGCGAGTGCGGAGGCAGCCGGGTGGGCGGCAGGGATGGGCGCGGGGGCGCCGCCCTCAGGCGATGCGGAGAACTGGGCTCTCTCTCTCTATTTCAGGATTGGGAGTCCATGCCACACTCACCTGCCTGCTCGACTGAGGAATTACCATGGTAATACACGTCTTATTTAAGTATAAGGAATTTGTATATATAAAACCATGTATGTAGCTTTCGCTAAATTAGTTTAATACCAGTCTGCCTCGTCGAGGCACGCTTTACCAAGATTTGTTACCCACGCCGCGAGATGGGCACGTCCATCTCCTGTCGTTGGGGGGGGGGGGGTGTCCAGCGTAGTGATCTGAACACTTGGGGCATAAAGATGACGGGGAGACGGGTTGCCCAAGTGGTCTGTGCGCGCCAAAGGGAACAGCGAAGCAGGATGAGGCTGAGCCCTCCTTTTGCGAGTTGGTTAGTTTTCGTTCCTTGGTTCTGTTGAGCCACTTTCATAACCATATATGTGGGAAATAAAGAGAGGCGGGTATCCTGGTGTGCAACTCCAGAGTGCCGGCACGTGTCCGCAGGGACTGGCCCAGGCACTTACCCCCTGCTGCCGCTGTCCTGGGTCCTGTGCAGGATTCTCCCCTACGGATTAAGAGGCAGAAAGCCAGCGCCCGTGCGACCCGGACTGCGGGCTCTAACAAGTGATTCTCTCTTCAAGTCCTAGTTGGAGGAAGGGCTTTGGAGGAAATCTTTTGTGCAGGGAATTCTTGAATTTTATGCCCAGGAAGGCTTGCAACATCCTTAAACTTCCATCTCATCCCCAAGTCGTTGGCTCACAGAGCTTCCTCTTAAACCAAACCACTCCAACTTCTCACTGGATCTCTCCACCAGAGAACATTTCCCAACTGTGCTCAAAATCCAGGTCTTTTAACCGCTTCCTTCTCAGCACTTTGCAATGGCATGTTCATTCTCCTGGCCTCGAACTCATAAGCACTACTGTTCCTCAGCCCTCATCCAGTCCCTTCGACCTGCTTCCCACCCTCGCTGCCTTCGGTCAAGTCCTGCCCTCCTTACCACCTGCCTGACTCTGGCCGTAGTCCACTACCTCTGTCCAGGGGCTCTCCATCTCTTTTGTCCTCCTCCTCCACCAGAATGGCTGTGACCTTGTAACCCCTACCCAGGACCTCGGGAATTTCCAGTCTGCTCAACTAAGTACCGCTCAGAGCCCAAGGTAAAGGGGCCTCAACCTCTTGAGCTTTATTTGCCATATTAACTTCTCTACTTTAAACAAAATGAAACAAAAAACTCATCCCACACTAGACCCACATTCTGAAGCCTCCTGCACCTGCCCCAACTCAAGCTATTGATCTACTTTTCTTCAACATGGGCCTAGCTCAGAAGTACCCGCTGCTGCCATATTGCTCCCAAAGTCCCCATGACCCTTTATACCTCACTTAACAAGAGCTTCGCCTGTTTCACCTTGGAAAGCCTCACTCCTCACCCCCATTTGCCTCTAGTATAGAAATGTGTTTGGTGAATCTGTGTGTTCCTTCTACTTCATTGCATATAAAAGCACTAAATAGATGTCTCTTGATTTAAATTGTGTCATTCCCCTGGTTACTGTGCGTGGTTGGTACTGTCATTTTCTTTCAGAGCCTAGGGAACTGAAGCAAAACGGTTTCATAAAGCCATTTAAGTTAATGGATTCCCACTGGCCCTTGGATAAAAGTTAAACACCTTAGCTTCCAAGGCCTGCAGGCCAGAGTTGCACACTGCCTACCTTCCCAGCCTAAACTCCTCTGCGCCCCCACTGGGGTTGCCTATGGGCCAGCCGCACTGACCTTTTCTGAGAGGTCCCTTCAATTTGGCCTGTTCCCTCCAGCCTCAGAGCCTTTGCACAAGCTGTTTGCCTGGGAATTCCCTGCCCCTCAGCCCACAGGCTGCTGCTCTTCAGGAACCCTTCTTCCTTCCTGTCCCAGATTAGGTCACTCCCTGTCCATCCTGTGACATTGTAATGGACCCTGGGCTCTCACTCACAGGAGAATGAGTAAATGTGTTTGCAATTTCTCCCTCACTGGACTGTAAGCCTCATGAAGACAGGAGCCCAGAACTGCAGGTCCTGGTGCTCAGTAGATATTTGTTAAATATTTGTTGAACGAATGAAGAAGGCATCTTAACATTCAGAAAAGCAGATATCTACATTTGCTTTCTAAGTCCTGAGACTGAATTGCATCTGAGTTGCAATGTATGCACTCAGCAGATATCTTTCATACCTACAAATGTGCCAGACATTGGTCTAGGCCCTAGGAATTCGGTGGTGACCTCATAGACAAAATTCTGGCTAGGAAACAATAAATACATGAACAGAATAGCACAATTAAATAGTGGGGTGTGCTTGGGGTCAGTGGCTAGAAAGTGACTGGCTGAGAGGGTTGTTGGGAAACCATCCATACACCCTCCCTCCTTGCCTGGGACAGCCCCAGTTTATGTTTGTTGAAGTGTCTTGGTTTGGACAATAAATTATATGGTCACCCTAGTTGTAGATAGAATATAGACACAGTATCTGAGAGAGTTTTCTAAAGAGGTGATATTTGAGCAGAGCCCCACACAAAGGGAAGTAACAAATGATTTCCCCTGTGAAGGTCTGCGGGAAGAGGCGGCAGCGGGGAGCGGTGGAGCAGGTTTGGGAACTAGAAGGGAGGCCAGTGTGGCGGGAGCCAGTCGTCTTCATTAAGGAGTCTGGAGAGTCTCAAGTCGGGAGCTCTGAGTTCTGGGACTGGAAACAGCCAAGAGCCACGGAGTTGTGTTGAACAGACCCAACCGGCCGAGAAACTGAAAGTTTTCACTCACAAAATTGTCTTAACAGATTTATTGAGGTATAAGTGATGTACAATAAATTGCGCATATTTTAATGTACAATTTGATAAGTGTGGCATCTGTATGCTCCCATTAAGCCATCACTGCAATCAAGGTAACAAACATGTTGATCACCCCCAGAAGCCTCCTTTGTGCTCCTCTGGAATCAGGCCTTTTTTCTTGCTTCTCTGTGTATCGCCCTCCTCCACCTCCCATCCTGGGCAACCGCTGATCTGCCCTGTCTGTATAGATTAGTTTGTAATTTATAGGATTATTTATATGTGGAATTATACAGTATTTATGGGGTTTTTGGTCTTGTATAATTGTTATTTTTTTAAGATTTTATTTTTTTAAGTAATCTCTGCACCCAACGTGGGGCTCGAACCCACAGCCCTGAGATCAAGAATCGCATGCTCCACTGACTGAGCCAGCCAGACATCCCTCACTTGTAGAATTATTTTTAAATTTGCCCATGTTGTAGTTGCAGCATGCATCAGTAGTCCTTTTTATTGCTGAGTGGTATTCCAGTGTATGGTTATACCACAGTTTGTTTATCCGTTCACTCACTGATGGACTTTTGGGCTCTTTCCAGTTTTTAGCTAGCACAAAGTTACTACGAACATTGCATGTATAAGTCTTAGAACAGATATACACTTTCATTTCTCTTGGTAAATACCTAGCAGTGGAATGGCTGGATCATATGGGAGGTATGTTCTTAACCTTTTAAAGAAACTGCCAAACTGTTTTCCAGAGTGGCTCTTTCATTTTGGATTCCCACCGGCAGTGTGAGAGAGTGCCAGATCCCCCACATCTTCACCAGCACTTGGTCCGGTCAGTGTTTGTAACCTGAGCCATACTAACGAATGTGCGCTGGTATCTCATTGTGGTTTTAATTGGATTTCCCTAATGTTGAGTATCTTTTCTTGTGCGCATTGGCCATATGTATATCTTCTTTGGGAAAGTATCTGTTCAAATCTTTTGACCACGTTTTGTTGTTTTTTTGTTTTCTGGTGTTTTTACTGTGTTTTCAGAGTCCTTTATCCATTCTGGATATAAGGGCTTTTTATCAGATATATGATTTGCAAATATTTTCTCCCAGTCTGCTTTTCATTTTCTTAGCAATATCTTTTGAAGAGCACAAGTTTTTAATTTTGATGGTGAATTTATCAACTTGTCCTTTTATGGATTGTGCTTTGATGTCAGATCCAAGAAATCTTTGTCTAACCTAAGGTCATAAAGGTTTTCTCCTGTATTTTCTTCTAGGACTTTTATACTTTTCGGTTTTATATTTAGGTATATGAGCCATTTTGAGTTAATTTTTGCATATGGTACAAGCATGGATTGAGCTTCATCTTTTTGCAAATGGATATGCATTGTTCCAGCCCCATTTTTTGAGGAAATTATTGTTGCTGGATTGTTGAGCACGGTGGTCAAGAAAGAATTCTTGAGTTTTAGGTGCAACTTAGTAAGTTTATTTAAGTAGCACAGGGAAAGGACCCCTGGGCAGAAAGACATCTGTTGTACAGAGCTGGTGGTTATATGCTTAGTGCTCAAGGGGGAGGTGATGTGAGGGGAGTATTAGATCAGAAATGTTTTCTTTGAATTTCTACTCGTAAAACTACTTTCGCAAGATTTCTCTGGCGCTTATCATTCAGCTCAGTATTAACTATCGGTGAGATTTACAGGCAGTCATGAGACCCTTTAAGGATGTAGCAACCAGTGTGTATTTGATCCTTATCGGAACTAGGCAGGCTATAGGTCAGCCTTCTGGGCTAAAGAACATTTTTCTGCTTCTATCCGTCGTCAGTTATCCGTGCTCTCTTGAATTGCTTTTGCACTTTGGTTGGAAAGCAGTTGTTCGTCTATGTGTGGACCTATTTTTGCACTCTCTATTCTGTTCCATTGATCCATTTGTCTATCTTGACCCCAATACCATAAAGCTGGATACTGGATACTGTAGCTGGATAATAATTCTTGAAATAAGGTAGCATCCGTCCTTCGACTTTGCTCTTTTTCAGAGTCCTTTGCATTTCCATATGAATTTTAGGTCAGTTTGCCAATTTCTACAAAAAGATGAGAACTTGGAATAAAAATATCAAACCTTTGTGTGAGTTTTAGTTATAAGCAAACTATTTTGGAGATGAAAACACTTTTTGGGGGCAGTTATTCCAGGTATGTCCTATGGTTGACATGCAAAAAAGTGTAAAATCATAAATAAAGCCAAGACCCCCAAATTTTAAGAGTTTATGGATCCTACACTCCAAGGGGATCTTTTATCAGGAGGTACAGTTATCATATGGGTTTTCATATTGTTGGGGGTTTTTTTAATTTGGATTTCCACATGAAAGCCAGGCCACTGTGTTGCAGGATACTTCTCCTCTTCATTCCTGAGTTTTGTATCTAGGAGTGTTTTCCATTTCACTTAATAAAAATGTATTTTAGTGTTTGTAATACATTGAGTATGTTTCTCTTTGTTTAGCCTGGGACATTTATAAAGTGCGATGCTATCAACATGGCATCCATTTTATACAAACATTTAGCCCTTGCAGATGTTCTTGATAACGTACACAGTCCTCTCCTCTTCCTTGCCTAGAAGAGACACTTTCTAAATAATACACCTCCATGTGTTACTTTACGGGGGGGTCCTGGACAGCGAGAAGTCAGCTCAGCTTTGTGTGGCTCTAGCGAAACGTCAGACAGTTTGTTCCCACGTTAGGCTAGTGACCGTTCCTTTTCCCAGAAGGCACTGGCCCGGCAGCAAGGTCATGGCCGGAGCACAGGTGCTGAGCTGGTAGATGCTGGTTTGCACGGTAACCGTGCTGAGCCTCCACTTTTCCATGTTGAAGACGGGAATAATGCCTCTCTCCCTCAAAACTCAGCTTGGAGGATTAGTGGTGATAAAGTGATGGGGACAACCACTTACTGTTTCCTTCATGTCAGACACTATGCTAAGTGCCTTGTATTTGTCTCAACCCTCCTGACTGCTGAATGGGAGGGTGACTGCAGCGGAACAAATGCCAAAATATGTGTTGGCATCCAATTACGTAATGTTTTTAATTAAGTTTTTATTATGAAAGTTTCTATACATACACAAAAATAGAATAGTAATATGAATCCCCATATACCCATTTCTCAAACTCCGAAATTGTCAGGATTTTGCCACATTGCTTCATGTGTCTTTTGGGGGGAAGTAGGGGAGCTGCAGTATTTTAAAGCAAATCTGAGGTCTTCTTTCAGATTTTAGTGTGCATCTCTGAAACGTATAAACGTTTCCTTCCGTGACCCAATGCCATTATCACACCTAACAGGATTAATAATTCCTTGATATTACCAAATGTCCCTGGTTGCCTAAAAATGTCTTTTTACAGTTTGTTCAAATCAATGCAGACAAGGTCCACCCCATCGTTAGATTAGGTTGGGTCTCTCTTTTTTGTTTGTTTGGGTTTTTTTTAAAGATTTTATTTATTTATTTGACAGAGAGAGACACAGCGAGAGAGGGAACACAAGCAGGGGGAGTGGGAGAGGGAGAAGCAGGCTTCCTGCCGAGCAGGGAGCCCGATGTGGGACTCGATCCCAGGACCCTGGGATCATGACCTGAGCCGAAGGCAGACGCTTAACAACTGAGCCACCCAGGCGCCCCTGGTTGGGTCTCTTTTAATCTGGGTCCTTCATACACATTTGTTGAATTAGACTGCACGTGACTTCTCCTCTCACTCCATGCAAAAATTTTTGTTACTGTTACAGTTTTTTGGTTTTCAGGAGTTATTTTTCTTATGTTCAAAAGGAAATGTTGAAAATCATTTCAAGGTTATAAAAACTAATTTATGCCCTGTATATACTTGTCTTTGAAAGCCAGGTAAAGGGAAACGAGGAAAAGGCCAAGGCAAGTCTCGCGGGAAGAAACAGAAGAAACCGGAAGTGGACATTCTCAGCCCTGCTGCCATGCTGAACCTCTACTACATTGCCCACAACGTGGCCGACTGCCTGCAGCTGCGGGGCTTCCGCTGGCCAGGTGCTCCCAAAGCAAAGAAAGGGAAAAACAAGACTTAATAGCACTTCACAGAGAGCAGAACTTGGGGAAGAGGAATCAGGATAACACAACTACTGCAAGCAAAATAGACTTCACTGAAGACAATTTGAGATGCAAGCTAAGTGTGCTTTTCTATGGTAGTTAAGGATAAAGAAATGCATTTTACTTGCCAGCTAAATTCAGCTATAGTTAGAAGAGGTCAAGGGGGGAAAAAGTCCGAGTAATTCCTACCAAGCGTGGTGGAATTGATAGGACTTTAAAAATTATTATAATTCTGGGTCAGAATAAACTTTGTTCTCAAAAGGCAGTTCTAGCCTGCATGAATGATTTTCTTTTGCCTAAACGGGTTTGTTACATAGAAAAGGCATGCCTGGGGCACTCGAGTAGCTCCGCTGGTTAAGTGGCAGACTCTCCATTTTGGCTCAGGTCTTGATCCCAGGGTGGTGAGTTCAAGCCCCTGCATTAGGCTCCACGCTGGGCATGGAGCCTACTTAAAAAAAAAAAAAAAAAAAAAAAAAGACACGACAAAAAGCACAGGATTTGCTTATGAACAGCCTTCTCTTGGGCACTGTTTCCTTTTTTCATCTTTTTCGGGAAAAATAATGAATACTTTGTTTCTATAATTTTTTCTTCTCAGCAGTCTGACTCTTGGCTGATTTTAATTAGTCAGGGATGCCGGTGGAGACTGGGATCATCACTCTGACCTTGCTAGGGCATATAAGCAAATGACTCAAAGGAGCTGACAAGGGACCGTGTCCTGGTGCCGGGAAAGGGAGCAAATCAGCACACATCTCTCCCTTCTTTCCATTTCACTGGACTCTTCCCCACGCTTTTCCTCCACACTTACATCTTCCTTCCACCTTCTGCGGGCTTCCTTCTAAACGTGGCTGACCCTGAGTTATGGAACAGGTGCTAGAAACTTGCCATGGGCATTCTGCTGCTATTCCATGATCCACGTAAGAGATAAAACTGCAGTTCTTCTCTTCAGTCCAAAAGGCCTAAAAGCCCCAAATGTGAAACTTGGAAGGAAAGGCATTTGAAGTATAAACACCATCTCTGAATCACCTAGCATCCCGTCCCTGCTCCTGCTCTGTCTTCCCGGCATGTCGCACCACGTTCCCAGTGCTGACAACCTGCACTGGGCTCTCCAGTCACAGCTGTGGGCCCGAAGTTGACGCCTCTAAGGCAGCACCTGTCCGGGGATGATCTCGTTTGTCTGAATTGCTTGTAACGATGCCGCAGGTTGCCTGGTGAGGCTCTCAGAGATTCACAAAGTCTGCTAAGAAAGGCTGCAACCTAGGACTCTGGATTTCATAAATACCAGAGGAAAAAAGGCAATCACACGAATCCTTGTACTAGAGAAGTGGGGTGCTCGCGCCGCATGTGAGCTTGCTGGCAGTGACATTCCTCTATGGCTGTCCCACCTGCGCAGATGCCATGTGAGACCCTGACTAGTGGCCAGAGGAGCCCTCGCTCGCTCGGGTGAAGGTTGGTGCTGCTCTTAAGCTAAAGGGGGGCCCTGTGGGTTCTCTGTGGATGGGCTTTGGAAAGGGAGCACCTTCCCACTCTGCTAGACACTGCCGGGATGGACCCAAGTGGTTTCTGTTTGTGGAGACGCTAACTCCAGTTCAGTCCTTCCCGAACCTGAGCAAGCAGCACCTGGAGGACGCGTCAAAGCGCACAAGGGTGGGAGTCGGGAATTTGCTGGACCGCACCCGGGGAGGAGCTGGGCTCTAGTTAATGCGGCCTAACCAGGGGCTGAGATGCTTGTTGAGTCTTTCAACTTGTAGGGTGTCTCACGCCCTCCTCTGCCTCGCTCGGCTCGGAGCTTGTATCTGAGCAGTAATGCTTATTGGAACGCTGGGGAGGTGGCATTTGCAGAGGCTTTTTCTGATCTTGTCCCCAGCACGGATGACATCATCTAAGGAGCTACAGAGACATGCCAGGCGGCAGACATTTAAAGGCTAAGAAGATCATCTGGAAGTGGAAATGCTTTCTTCTCTTGAGATGGTTAAACGATGAGCAGAAAGGCTAGTAAGCACTGGAATCGAAGAAGTACTAATGGGATCTGATGGGGCATGGTTTACACCTAGTGGAGGAGGCTGACGCACAGGTTCCGTCATGATGGGGGGCAGTTAGTCTCTGTTTCCCCTTCGCTGGTGTGTCTGCTGTGTTATCATGGCAGAGACACTGCAGACCAGAAGTCCACAAAGAACATTATTGGGAAAGTGAGGAAAAAATGAATATAGGCTTAAAATAATACTGTATTGATGTAAATTTCTTGGCCATGATAATCTTATCGTGGTTATATGCCAGAATGTTCTTGTCCTCAGGAGCTAAATTATTTAGGTGGAAGGGTAACGATGTATGCAACTCACTTTGAAATGCTTCAGGAAAAAAGTGTGCATATATGTGTGTGTGTATAAAATATATACTTTAACATGTTGCCACATTTGCTCACTATGATTACATGTATATAGGAAATATATACATCCATATATGTATGTTTACATATGGATACATGTGTATACACAGTTTGTGCAAATATGACAAAATGTTAGTTCCTGAATCTAGGTCAGTGGTTCTCAACTGGGGGCTATTCTGCCTCCCCAGGGACATTTGGGGATGTCTGAGATATTTTTGGTTGTCTCAGTTGAGGGGATGCCACCAGCATCTAGTAGGTAGAGGTCAGGAATGCTGCTGAACATCCCACAATGCACTGGACAGGCTCCCACAACAACAAATTCTCCAGCCCCAAATGTTACGGTGCCAAGGTTGAGAACGCTGGTCTAGGTAACGGGTCTGTGTGTTCACTGTACTTTCTTTCAACCTTTCTATAGGCTTGAGATTTAAAAAAAAAAAACAAAAGTAGTGTTTAAAAAAAAAAAGGAGAGAGGAAAGATGTGTGACAGAAAGGTGAGGACGTGAAGAAAAAAGCATAAGCAAATTCTTTTCCAGGATCTTGTCTATAAGGGGATGAATTACAGCTAGGGGAAAAGACAGCACTCCTGTCAACCACGCTAACCGCCCCCCCGCCCAATCCCATGAAGAATTATCCTGGTGTTCATGTTTAGTAATACCTGACCAGTAATACCAGTCCCATTCCTCAGGCACAGCTGGTTGGACCAGCGGGAGGCTCCTGACCCCTGAAAACTCATCCACTGGCTGCTCCGACGAGCCTGGTCTATTGTAAGACCAGGTGGGTCCATCAGAGTCTCCGTCTGTCCTGTAAAGACCCGGAGAACGAGGCACGTAGGAAGCTGACGCTTGGAGGAAGGATAGAAAGAGACCACAGGCTACAGCTGGAGCCCCAGGGGTCCCCCACAAGTTGAAGTTGCGGAAAAGCGGAAACCTACAGTAAGCAGAACTCAGGAGGTGGAGGAGAGATGTGTGGAGCCCAGAGGGAGGACACGGCCGTGCCCCGGACCACTTCTCTCCTTCCCGCTCCCCGCTCCTCAGCCTTGGCGACTGCACTGGGTGTGGGCACCTGTCTGTAAACCATGAGGGAGGTGAAGCCGACCTTCTCCCTGGGAGACACGCGGTGGTCATGGGAAATCCAGGGAGCGGTCCTGCAGGCACCAGGGAATTTGGGACTAGGGCTCAGAGAGACAGGTTGGCCAGGAGTGTAGGTTTAGATGTATTCAATGCAAGCTCATGGTTGGAACCAAGGGCTGGTCAGTTGTAGAAATAAGAAAGTTGTGCTGAATCAGGAGCCATGGGGACAGTCTCCTTTCATGGGACAGAAGGAAGAGGAGGGGCTGTCAGAGATGGAGGAGGAGGGTGAGGAAGCCTGGAGAAAAGGGGGGTCTGTGGGGCCACATGCAGCAGAGATGTCCGGGAGGGTGAGAGAATGGGAACAGGGATCATGATCTGTTGGATGAGGGGTCCTCCTGCGTCCGGCTTCTCTATAAAATAGGGGATGAGCGTAAACGTGGAAGGGAGGACCGAGGGGCTTCGGCTACTGGTGCACAAAGGCAAACCTCCTGTCAGAATCCAGGTCTGTCCCCGGCCCTGCAGTGTGTTCCTTATCTCCCCCTGGTGGTGGGAGGATGCGGCGTGTGTCCCTGAGTTTCTGTGAGAGCCCGGAGATGCCCCAGCTTAAAGCAGGGTCACCGCAGTGGCCACGCGCTCCCGGTGGCTGGCAGCCATGCACGCAGCGCCACCTGCTGTTGGTTTTGGGGGCTGCATCATGTCTTGCCGGTCAAAGCCAACTTGGGCGTCACTTGACCTTTCTTACCTTGATAATCCTATATTGGCTGTTGCCCTCTAAAAATATGGTATGATCATGTGACCCTTCTGCCTTAAACATTCCCATGGTGACCCATTGCTCTTGGGATAAGACCAGACTTCCCACCAAGGTCCACAAGCGCTGAGTGGTTCGGGGCATTGCCTCCTGCCTGCCTCCCAGCACGTCTGCGCCCTCTTCTCGGCATTCCAGCCACTCTGGCTCCCTTCTGCCTCAGACATTTTGCTCATATTGTTCCCTCTGTGTGGGACACGAGTCTCCCTTTCCCCTGACTGACTCCCGTCCACCCTTTAGGTCCCAGCTTCGTATCTTCCAAGAGAAGTCTCCCAGATCCTGGGCCAAAGCCGGTCATGTGCCCTATGTGCTCTGCGGGACTCTGTATGTCTCCATACTTTTTTTTTTTTTTTTTAGATTTTATTTATCCACTTGACAGAGAGCACAAGCAGGGGCAGCGGCAGGCAGAGGGAGAGGGAGAAGCAGGTTCCTCGCCCAGCAGGGAGCCCGATGCGGGGCTCCATCCCAGGACCCCGGGATCATGACCTGAGCTGAAGGCCGACGCTTAACCCACTGAGCCACCCAGGTGTCCCATGTCTCCATACTTTCACAATTAAATGGCTGATCGATTAATGGTTATCTTCGCTGCTAGAATGCAGTTCTCTGCTAGCAGGGCTGGTCGGCTTGTTGATGGCTTCCTTGGGCCCTGTGACATCATAACCAGCACTCTGGCATATAAATATTTGTTGAAGGATTTTTCTAACAAGCTATTTATGCTACAGTAACAACCCCCAAATCTCAGTGGCTTAAAACAACAAAGGTTTATTTCTTATTAAAGCTTTAGTTCCTGGAGGGCTGACCCAAAGGTTTCTTTCTCCCTCGGGCTCCATGTCCATTGAGGGTGGGCCGGGGGCCTGCCTCCAGGGACCCGGGCTTACAGAGCAGCCAGCACTTGGGGTGTCATAGGCTGCCAGGCCGAGAGAAAGAAGGAAAGAAAATGTGAACTGCACACGGGTTCTTAAGGTTCCCACCCAGAAGTGACAGATCGCTTCTCATTTTATTGGCCAAAACAAGCCACGTGGCCACAGCTCACTTCAAGAGAGGGGGGAAATGCAATGCCCCACATGCCCCACAGGGGAACCACAACTATTTGCGGGATAGCGCTGGTAACTCTCTGAAGCACGCATCGCTTCTGTAATAAAAACGACTCCGAAACCAAAAACGGAATGCAACAAAAGGGCTGAGAAACGGGTGGTCCAGAGAGGCAGCTTCAAGAAGAAACGCCTCCTCAGGACGCCGCAGCTGTGCCCTTGTGTTCTGTTTATCGAGCCACCTGTAGAGGTGACCAAGGGGTTAGGATACCTGAGCAAAGCAGGAGTTTTGTTTTGTGTTCACATTTATTTATTTGAGCGAGAGAGAGCGCGCGAGCACAAGTCGGGGAGGGGCAGAGGGAGAGAGAGAATCTCAGGCGGACTCCGCGATGAGTGTGGAGTCCCATGCGGGGCTCGATCCCAGAATCCTGAGACCGTGACCTGAGCTGAAACCAAGAGTCTGATGCTCAACCAACCGAGCCGCCCAGGCGCCCCTAAAGCAGAGTTTTAAGTCTTAAAACTCTTCTTAGCTCTATCACATCTTCTTCTCCAACTTCTAGAGAAACCATTCAAATAAGATGATTGTTCTTAAATATTTTATTTTTATTAATGTTTAAATTTATCACAATGAAACTCATAATCCAGCAATTACACTATTTGTATTGAGACTATGCTTCCTGATTTCCTGTGTAAAAAAGAAAGCCCAAGATTTTGTCAGTTGCCAAAAAAAAAAAAAAAAATCTGAGCCCAACCTTTCCATTTGTTGAAGACAGAAGAGCACTGAAAGAGTCCCATGAAGCATGGATTCCTGCTCTGTGCTGTCTTCTTGGTGACCCCCACCCCCCCCGCCCCGAGTCATGGAGCCTTGGCTGTGACCCATCACAGGAACCCCCTCTATACCCTGCTCTCAGAGCAGCATTTGGCCAGAGGTGGCCTCCTGGTGGGTTTCACCCGGCTCTCCCTCTGCCTCCATGGCTACAAACGGGTTCACCCGCTCTGCCCCATGGCAGCCTTACACACTCTGAGAGACTGTTCTTGGTGGAGAGGACACACGTTCTGCTCCAGGCCAAACACCCCAGTCCCTTCAACCGCTTTTTACTTAACATGACTCCTCTTGGTCACCCTATTCTGGATCCTCCAGGGTGTCATATCTCCTGTGGCTAGTAGGATGGGGCACCCATGTTTCCCATGCCAGTGAGGCCCTGGCCCCCTGAACTCTAGACTTTAGACCATCTTTCCAGTCCAGGCTGACATGAGGCTTTAGGAATAGATTCTTCATTTAAATAGCTTAAGGCTTGGTGTGGCCATTGTAGAACATAATTCGGTGGTTCCTTAAAAAGTTAAACATAGAGTTACCATACGATCCAGCAATTCCACTAACAGGTATGTACCCCAAAGAGTTAAAAGCAGGGAGCCAAACAGATACTTATACACCAACATTCGTGGCAGCACTATTCACAACAGCCAAAAGGTGGAAGCAGCCTAGGTGTCCATCAACAAGTGAATGGATAAACGAAATGTGGTCTCTGTAGACAACGGAATAGTATTCAGCCTGAAAAAAGAAGGAAATTCTGGCTTAGGCTGCAACATGGATGAACCTTGAAAATGTTATGCTACATGAACTAAGCCAGATTCAAAAGGACAAATATGGTATGACTCACTTGCATGAGTTCTCTCGAATAGGTACACTCATAGGGATGGAATGTAGACTAGTGGTTGCCACGGGCTGAGGGGAGGGCAGAAAGGGAAGCTACTGTTTAATGAGTTTCTCTCTTAGATGATGAAAAAAATGTAAATGGACAGTGATGGGAGCGCCTGGGTGGATCAGTCGGTTGGGCATCTAACTCTAGATTTTGGCTCAGGTCATGATCTCAGGGTTGTGAGATTGAGGCCCCAGCAGGCTCTGCACTAGGCATGGAGCCTGCCTGGGATTCTCCCTCTCCCTCTACCCTTCCCTCCCCAAAAGAAAATTTAAAAAATGGGCAGTGATGATGGTTGTACAACGTTGTGAATGTACCCAATGCCACTAAACCAGTTACTTAGAAATGGTTAAAGTGATAGATTTTTTGTTGTGTATATTTCACCACAATGAGAAAACACAAAATCCATCAAGGCTCTTTTTTCTCGATCTCCTGTATGAGTGGGAGGGAGGGACAGCTTATGCAGCACAGACTTCCCACAAGAGGCTTTCTCTCTGCAAGTGAGCAGTGGTGGGGGGTGGGAAGCAGATGTGATCCCCCCGCTCCCAGGACTCCTTCCTCACCCGGCTCCCTCCCTCTGCACACAGCCTTATTTCTCCTCCTTTTCTTGTGACTCAGAGAAACCAGGGCACTCTTTCTGGCCTCCTGCACAACTCCACTCGAGGCCCCCGAACCACATCACAGGCCACTGCCCCCTGGACCACCCACCCCTTGACCTCTGCCTGCCTTGACCCACTTCCCACAGAAAACATTTCATCCCTGGCCTTGCTTGACATTCCCTGATTCAGAGTCTGCACTTCCTACCTGCTAATTCACACCTTGGATCTGTTACTCTGTGAACAGCCTCCCCCAGTTACATCAACCTGTGTTTTCTCTCCTGGATGAGGATGTAAAATGCATTAACGATAAATGAGGCAGAGAAGCTGTGACTGAGAGGTCAGGCTCACGGCAGGCTCAGCACAAGGCGAGCGTGCAGGACTCTGAAGGCTGGGCAGACTCGGGCCTGCCAGCTCATCAGCTTCAGGCCCCTGCCAGCGGGTGACCCTCAGGCGGTGGCTTCTTGGACCTCCTGGTCCCTGGCTTCCGGGACACTGGTCACCATCGTACCGACCATAGTCGTATTTGCCACGCATGGTCACTGGGAGAGCTGTGAAAAGCAGTGTCCTCCCATCTGGGCCCACCTGTTGGCTATGGGAGCTGAATCGCCCAGTGTCATTTGGTCCCTTCTCTGTCTCCAGGTGTCCTTCAGCCTTGACTTCTTTGGCAGTCTGACCCCAAGTGTGTGCAGCCCATAGGCCTCTGTTCTGTCAGACCGCTGAGCTCCATCCGCACCGCTGAAGTCACCTTCCGAGAACCTACCAAGGATGGCAGCCCGCTGCTGTGCGTGTGCGTGTGCGTGTGTGTGTGTGTACTGCATTTTCCTTATCCATTCGTCTACTGATCGACGCTGAGGTTGCTTCCATACTTTGGCTATTGTAAATAATACCCGCCATAACCATAGGAGTGCATATCTCTTTTTGAATTAGTGTTTTCATTTTCTTTGGGTAAATACCCACTAGTGAAATTATTAGATCATATGGGATTTTTTTGTTTATTTGTTTTATTTTAAGATTTTATTTATTTATTTGAGAGAGAGAATGAGAGAGAGAGAGAGAGCACATGGCGGGGGGAGGGTCAGAGGGAGAAGCAGGCTCCCCGCTGAGCAGGGAGCCCGATGTGGGGCTCGATCCCAGGACCCTGGGATCATGACCTGAGCCGAAGGCAGTCGCTTTAACCAACTGAGCCACCCAGGCGCCCTCTATTTTTAATTTTTTGAAGAACTCCCATAGTGTTTTCCACAGTGGCTGCACCAATTTGCATTCCCACCAATACTGCATGAGGGTTCCTTTTTCTCCACATCCTCATCAACACTTGTTTTTTCTTATCATTCTGATATTGACCATTCTAATTGGTGCGAGGTGATATTTCACTGTAGTATAGATTTAAATTTCCTGATGATGAGTGATGTTGAGCATCTTTTCATGTGTCTGTTGGCCATCTTATTAGAAACTAATTAAAAAAAAAAAAAGCGTTGTCATAGTCTTAGTGAAGGGTAATTTCCAGATGCTGAGCTGAATGTTTGTTGAATTATAATCTTTTTAACGTATGGTTTCGTTGTCTTCACAGCTGTTTGTTAATAGCGGTGTGGTATTCCATTCACTTGCTGTATTGTAGTTAACCTGAGGATCCATCATAGCGGGATGTTTATAATGCTGCCAATTTTTGCTGTTATATGTAATGCTGGATGACTGCCTTTTTGTGTATAGATTTGTTTTGAGTGATTTTCTTAGAACAAATTCCCACGAGTGGGATTATGGGGTCAAAATATAAAATTCTTTTATGGGGCACGCTGTCTTCCGGAGGGACAGGAACCGGTGGTTGGGGCCACTGGCAATGACTTGATTCTCACCCTGCACCTGAGCCCAGCTGGCCTCTGCCGGAGAAGGCCCGGCGGCATGCTGCTACCCAGGGACCGACTCGGCGTGGCCGGTTAAAACACGGTCCCAGCGCCGCTGTCTGCTGCTCGAGTTTGCACCGATGTACAAAGCGCATCCCACTGGCCCAGGAGTGAGGACGGCTTTGCAAAGGTAGGTTTACTGAGCTTGGAGGTCAAGTGCGTGGGCTGTGGAGCAAGAGGTTTGTCATCAAGCCCCAGCCCCACTGGGTAGTTAGGTGTGTAACTTTGGGTCAAGTTGCCTAATACCCCTGGCTGTTTTCTCATTTGTAAAATGAAAGCGTAAAGGAGAAGGTATATTGCGAGGATGAAATGAGGGAATCCACGCCACGCGTGCAGCCCAGCGCCCAGCACGTGGAGGCACACAACACGTGCCGTGTCCGTCTAGCTACCGGACTTGGCGGAGAGTGAGTCTCTGACGCAGCCTGCTCTTCAGACTGTGAGGCTGGCTTCTTCCTGCCTCCGAGTTGGTTCCCACACACAAATCCTCTGGAAGGAACTCTTTTAAAAATTCTCAGCCTAAACTTCATTTTGTACTTGAGAATGGAAAGCTTGAAGTCAAATCAATTAACAAAAAGGACTCTGCAGAGCGTTCTGAAGAAGCATGTGTATGTCCTTGAACTCAAAGAGCTTACATTTTTCCAGCATTCACCTTTGAGAGAGAGAATCAATGCACAGACCTCGGCTCTGCGATTGCAGGGAACGCGTGATCAGTCGGCACTGCCCCGTCCCTGGAGGGTCGGACTGGGGAGGTGGGGATGACTACAGTTGTGTGGCAGGCGTGAACAAATCGATCTTCAAGTCTGAAGGAAGGACTATGCATTTAAAACTAATGTACTGGGGCGCCTGGGTGGCGCACTCAGTTAAGTGTCAGGCTCAGGTCATGATCTCAGGGTTGTGAGATCGAGCCCTACTTGGGGCTCTCACGAGGCACAGAGTCTGTTTGGGATTCTCTCTCTCCCTCTCCTTCTGACCCTTCTCTCTCTCTCTCAAATAAATTAAAAATAAGTCTTTAAAACTAATGTAATCACTGAAGAGTGACAGTTAATAGAACTGAATCTTTAAAAAAAATATACACCTTTTTTATTTTTCAAAATAAAATTCAGAGAACCAAATGAGACTATTGGTTTCTAGGTCCCATTCCATTGTTAAACTATCAAAGCTCTGTTGAGGCCGTCCCTGTGGACGTGGGTTTTGTTTTGCACACGGCACAAAACTGAGCTCCATAAGATTCGCTGTTTAAAGACATTCCTGTTCTCATGGTAACTGATGGTCCATCAGCACCAAAATATATAAAAGGCAGCGGGGCAGCATGAAGATGTTACTACGACAACTGGAATTTAGAGTATACATTTTTAAAGGAGTGTGGGAGGGCTTAACTTCACTTCACTTTCTTCAAGAAAGCCTGGGTAGGATGAGTCAGGCATTTCAGAAAACAGGGGTGCCCTGGGGTCCGGGGTGTGGGCTCACGTGGTCACAGCACTGGCCAGAAGACCGGTGACAACAGAGTGTTGGCTACAGAATTCTGTGAAATCACCTCAGCAAAATGTTGCTCCATCAGAAATCATACAAAGATTTGGTTGTGTTGGGAGCAGGCAGGATTAAGGAGTGAGTATTACAAGAGAACTCTCAATTTTTAGCCTTCATGGAATTTGCAGCTAAGAGATGACCAGGAAGGGGCACCGGGGTGGCTGAGTCGGCTAAGCATCTGCTTTCGGCTCAGGTCATGATCCCAAGGTCCTGGGATCCAGTCCCACATCGGGCTCCTGACTCAGCGGGGAGTCTGCTTCTTCCTCTCCCTCTGCCTCTCCCACTGCTTGTGCTATATGTCAAATAAATAAATAAAATCTTGGGGGGGAAAAAAAAGATGACCAGGAACAAATCAACTTGCTTTAAAAAATGTCCATATTAAAATAAATAAGCAAATAGTTCATTCTCCACAGTTTGGAATGTACAGGTACTACTAGGAACTTGAAAAGGAGATGACATTTCCATTTTCCTCCGAGGATGTGAATCTATTTCTCATTCTGGGCCTCACAGAGCTGAAAATAGTCTCTGTCGTGTGAAGCTGAACACCTCCAACTTCAGTACTGGGGCCACAGCAGGTCGGCGGACCCAGCCGAGGGGTGCCAGCCCTCTGTGTGTGGCACAAAAAGAGCTGCTCCCACTCTGGGGCTGGCATGTGTGGCCCGGGGCCCTGGGCGCCTGCTTCCAGCGGTTGGGGGTGACCGGCCACCCAGCCTAGCCAGCTTTCCCGGGGTAATGGCTGTGAGGTCAGCTCTGCCCCAGTGTCCCCCTGCTGTTACCAGAACACACTCACTTCTCTTGGTCTTGCTGTCTTTCTGCAATGTACTGAGTGTGGCCCAGGTCACATGAAGGTCTGGGGGAGCCAGGAAATCAGCATTTTTTTAGCCAGTTCCAGAGAGCTCTCCGAGGCATTTGTACAACTCACAGAGCAAGGAATTTGCAGATAAGAGATGCTTCTGTCCTCAAATTTCTTTAATTCTCCCAACCATCCCTTGGGCTCAGAAGGGTGAAGTAACTTCCCCTGGTCACACAGTGGTCCCCAACCAGGTCTGACTCCAGAGCCAAAGCCTGAGTCCACCCCACGCGGCACCTTCTGGGGGAGAGTGAGAGCGTGTTTGCATCACACCAGCCGACTGTCCAAGGGAGCTGTTGCCGGAACCGGGAGCCTCCTGCTTTCACATGGCACTTCCGTCTCTCATGCTCTACCTCACTGGGTGGGTGGGGTTCATAGCGACGTGACAGCCCCTCGCAGACTCCCTGATGCTCTGGCACATTCTGACATTCTGCTTTCTATTTTCTGTATTTTGTGATGTTTTGAGGTCTCCAGGGCCTTGCAGGCCCAGAGAGGGACTGCTCCTCCCACGGTTAGCTGCCTTCTAGAAATAGCAGACAACTTGCCGGTGAGCCTACCTTTGATATGCAAACCAACGAATCCGCCCCTCTCGCCCACGTTCACCTCCTTTTATCAGCTTCCTACAGTCAGGACACTATCCTCCTACCCTAAATCCCCCCAGGGCCAGATACCAGACCAGCAGGGACGCCCCTGGAGCCAGAGCCCACTGAAATTACCCCCACTGTCCCCTCCTAAGCCTGCCCAGCATGCCCACCCTGCCTTGTCTATTCCTTCCAGCAAAAACCCCAATAAAGGCTCTGGCCCATGCTTTCCCCTCACTCCTGACGCTGAGGCCTGAGTGGCAGAATGGCCCTGCTCTTGGGAACTGTAACAAAGTTGTTTTGTTGTTGTTGTTGTTGTTGTTGACAACTGGACTTAGTGGCTTTGTTGGGGAGAGCCAGGATTACAACGGATTTAAGAGTTGGCATTGGGGCCCTTCTTCTTGCCAAAGGTGGGCGTGACGTTGACCAAGCGCTGGTTGTCCTGCATCAATTGCATGGTTCAGCCTGTCTTCTTTTTCTCCTGTTTGGCCACCTTGGGAGTCCGCCCTCTGACTTGGCCAGCACGCGCCAGGGAGCCACGGACTTCACCTCCAAGCGTGCGGCTGGCTCCTTCCAGGCTGGCCAGAGCTCCACTCCACGTTGACCCAGGGTAGCCTCAGCCTCTGCAGGTGTGCCTGTCAAGAGCATGACATGGTCTTTGGGAGCGATGCCCTCCAGTGAGGCTACATGAGCCTTGCTCTGGGCGGCCGTGTCCTGGCCGGTCACCTCCAGGGTGAGTACAACAGGAGCCGCTACCGGGAAGATGGAGTCAAGAAAGAGCAGCAAAGTATTTTGGCAGTGGCAGTCATCTCCTGATGCTGGCCGGAATAAAAACAAAACTCCTGGGCTCGTTTGCAGGAAGACATCCGGAGCTTGGTCTCCTACCTGCTGCTCTCCTCGTCCTCCTCTTACCCTAGGGTTCCTCTTCTCCGTGTCCTGCCTCTTCCACCCCTCCCCTCCAGCCCACGGCCAGGCCTGGGTCAGGCAGAGGCCAGGCTGGGACCAGATCAAGCACAGGACCTTGACCTCATTTCCTCCATGTCCCTCACTGCAGAAGGGCTGGAATCTACCAATGCTCTGGGAAGAACCCATTTGCCTCCAACCAACTTTTTCCAACCACAGGGTGTGAAACTCCTTCCTATGAAGTTGAATCCCCCGAGGCTGTGTATTCGTCAGCTGGGGCCCAGGAACTCGAGGCTCTACGGCTCCGCCCTAGCTCTCCAGGCCCTTGAGGGACCAGGGACCAGCGGGCGGCCACCCAGCCCGGGGCCCCCGGGGCCCCAGTCCTCTGTCCTGCCTCTTCCTCTCCCCTGTACAGTTAATCTATGCCCCTTGAACCGTCAGCATCTTCTGGTCTTGTTTTTCTTAGCTGACCACCTGTGGTTGGAATGTAAGTAAGAGTAACAACATGACCACACAGGATGCTGGCAACACTGACCCAATCGACAGAGCATGTGATTGGGCCGGGTTTTCAATCGTGGAGTCACCACACAAGACTGTGGTTGGAGCAGGAGGGGCAGCGCGGGGAGGAAAATGTCGGGTGGAGGCGCCGGCTGGGGAAAGGCCTGCAGGCCGGCGGGCGGGCTGGCGGGCGGGCTGGGGGGCTCGGCCGGCTTCGGCGGGGCGGGGCGGGGCGGGGCTCCCGGGCGGGAGGAAGCCGGAGCAGGTGCTGCGGGGCGCAGGTGCAGATGGGCCCCTGAACGGGGCGGGCGGAGTGGAAAGGAGAGGGACCCCGCGGACGTTACAGAGGGGGGAGAATGGATCCTGGTCATAGAAGGGGTGTTTTTGCAGTTTCTGGACTCCCTGGTTTTAAAAGCATCACTCCCTGGGCTGAGGGGGTGGCAGCTGTAGGCTATCCGCTCTCAGCGCTAAATGCTGCCGTTTCGACTCCTGCTGGGGCTTTGCAGAACCTTCTAGGAAACTCCTGACAACACCCCTACCTAGGTGAGTGGTGATCCCATTCCAAATGGCTGGAGGTCCATGGACTTTGGAGTTGCTCCCAAATAGTCATACCCTTGACTACTTAATTGTGAATTCCCAAAGACCTCCTATAGTATCATCAAGATTTCGTGATCACCTGGGATGCAGACAGGGAGGTGGTGTCGACCTACTGCTGATTTTCAGCGCCGGTAACTAGGAGGGTAGAGACTTGACCTTGAGGGCTCTGAGGCCGGTGATATTGACATGGGCAGTGTTGACAGGAAGCTTCTGGATACAACAGGCTCTCTGCTCTTCTGCGCAAGGCTGACAGCTATTCACTCCTGTACCTCACGCTCTTCATGAGGGAACAAAGGGGAGTCGGCAAAGCTTAGAGTTACTTTCTGGGGTGAAAATTAAGAATCAAAATGTGACAGAAGACATTGGCCAGCTAGAGAAAGCAAATCACACAAGGCATTTGTAGCAAAGGGTGGCTGAGGACTGGGCACACCCACAAAGCAGCTGCCGTGGTCAGACCGGAACCTCAGGGAGACGCGGGAGGAACCTTGTCCCAGGGTTGGCAGCACGTGGGAGCGTGTCAGAAATGCAGATTCTTGGGTCCTGCCTCACATCTACATTTGAATGAAAAGCAAGTTTCCTCCCTTTTCTGGCTGAGTATCTGCAATCCTTCCGACAGCTGCCCGCCCTCCAGGTGTGAAAGCTGCCTGGCTACTTGCTGTCTGCTCACCCCCAACCCCACCTGGCCTCCCCAGCCCTACACTTGAGAGAGTTGGTCTTTGACCAGACAAATTCCTCCCCAGACTTGATTTTCTTCTAACCTCTCTCAGCCTGGACTTGTGCTCTCTCACTATTTTGTGTATCCCACCCCCTACACACATTCATAATAATTTTTGTTTAGACTTTTCCATTTAAAGCAGTTTACATTCATCTTCACGTGATCCTACAAAAACTTGTGAGGATGGCAGATCAGCAGTGGTAGGACTACCTTTTTTCCAAGTAAGGGAAGTGAGCCCCAGAGGGCTGGGGACTTGCCCAAGGTCATACAAGGCAGGATCCATATTTGAACCTAGGTCTTCTGACCCCTTTTCAATGCCCTTGACTCCAACATCATGAGTAAAGTTAATGGCATGTTACCTATTTTGAAATATCTTCACACTTACGCCTTTGCCATACCTGGAATGCCTGCCCACCTACCCAACCCTCTGATCCGCCTACTGCTCATTCCTCCAAACTCCCAACCTGTTGAAATTCTACTTATCCCTCAAAACGTAGCTTAAACATCACCTCCTCAGTAATGGCTTTCCTCCTTACTCAGGGAAAAGCAATCATGTCATCATTCAAAGTCCGGGACAGGTGCGCCTGCTCCATGTGTGCCTAGGACACGGATCCACACCCAGCTGCAGGGGAGCCCCAGAAAGGGGGTGTCTGTTTAGCTTCTGTAGTGGGAGGCAGGCTCTACCTGCTGTGGAGGACGCATAAGACAAGCAGTGTCCCCCACCCAGAGAAAGGCTATTCAGGAGCTGGGCAGCTGAGAGGAATGGCAGATGCCCACCAGAGCTCATACCTCTCGCTGCTTGGCAACAACATCAACAGTTCTCCCCGTTCTTACACTGCGAAAATGAAAATGCTGTCACGGACACAATGACACAACCCCGTGTATAATCAAGAGTGTGTGCATCTCCCTCCCCCCAAGCCGCACCCCCTAGAAAGGGAGACCACCCACAGTCTTATCAGTGCCTACTTCCCCTTCTGGCCCAGGATTTCCGGGTGGTGCCCATCCTCCTCTAACCCAGTGCTGCAAGACCTTCTTCCACCCCAAGGTCTCTCTGTAAAACCAGGATTCTGTAACATCCCCTTTACTACCCTGGAAATGAAATTCAGAGGTAAAATCTCCTAACTGTGTACTGTGTAGTGAAGGGGACATTCATAAGTAACTTACAAAAAATAAAATGTATTAAAATAAGTAAATACCCAGGCACAACCGCCCTCGGTGCCCTAATAAAAGAGTCAGATGCTTGCAGCTCCGTGAATGCAGTCGATCTGCTACCAGGTGGCTGGCTTCCACCTTCCACCTCCCCCTCAACGCATAGGTCAGGACCATACGTGTAGTCAACCCTGGGGTTATGTCGCTTCTGAGAGACACGGAGTTTCACCCGGTGTTATATCCCTAGTGGCGGTGCCCTAGGGGACGACTGCACCGAGCTATCACACGGCCCCGGGGTCTCCCTCCCTCGCACAGTTCTCGATGCCTCTGTGCCCGTGGAAGCGAGTTAGAAAGCATTCGAATAGAGAGAATCCAAGGCAAGGAACTGATTGCATGTGTGACAGAAGAGCTGGCTGGGAAGCCAAGCGGGCGGACTCGGCAGCAGCCGCGGGAACCACAGCTGCCCCTGCCCTCAAGGGGACAGAGAGAGGAACCCAAGAGGCCTCGGTGGAAGCTGATGAGATGGAGGAAGCCCATTTGCGGCCAGAGCCGTCACCCGGGGCAGGGAGGGGGGAGGAGAACTACCTCAACTTCCCCCGGCCTCCTGTCTTGCCACCTCCGCAATGTCTCCCGCTGGCCACACTGAGCCAGAGGCCCGCGGACATGGGAGGCGTGGAAACAGAGCCTTCTGGAAGCAGCCCTTCTGTATCACAGAGCAGAGCAAGAGGAGAGCGAAGAACGCATGACACACAGGCCCGGAACTGCACAAAGGCCAAGGGCTCTTTACCGAAAGAATTACTTTTATAAAAGACGCACTCTTTCAAGCTACTTTGGATTCTCCAGAGTCCTAGACCTTGCCGTTATGGTTGCTCCGTGAAGGATCCCGGGCAGTCTCGGACACTTCAAGCAGTGGGTCATCTGGGTCAAGTGACAGAGTTGCTCTCCCTGCAGCCACCACCCGTGACCCCAACCTCTACACTGCGTCATGGCAGCGCCCCCGTCAGTCTCTGGGGACCACACAAGACCTTTAGGGGTGGCGCCCGCCTTCCCTCCAACCCCTGCGCCCGGTCACCCCGCTTGGACGGCACCCACTCTTACAGCCACAGTGATCCCGCCTTCCCCGCAAAGCCTGGCCCTGACCTTCAGGATCAGAAACCTCACCTTCAGGGGTCTCACCCTCTCTGCCAGGAGACTCTCCCTTTTCCTCCTGCAACATAATCAGATCATCAGAAAATCAGAAGAAAGCCCGTCTTCGCTCCTCATCTGCCCCCTCCGCAAGCAGGACATTTTCCTCCGCGAGTCAGGAATCGGGGAGCCTCACGCCACAGGGTCTGGGCAGTGGCTGCTTCAGTTTTACAACCCGTCACGCACCTTTGGCAGACCTGCTTAATGTTTTTTTTTTTTTCTAATTATAAAAATAATAAGGCACACTGAGACAGTATAGAAAAGTAAGGCAGAAAAAAAAAGCCACCTATAATCCTGCCACCCAAAGGCAGTGCCTATTAACGTTTTGATATATTTCCTTTCCAGATTTTAAATGCATTTTTCTGCAGCTGAGATCATACTTGTATACATAATTTCATGCTCCGATTTTTTTTCACGTTATAATATTTTTCCCGTATCATTAAAACTTGGTTGAAAACATGAGCATTTTTTCCATATTAGCTTTTTTTAATTACAGAAGTAACACACACTTGCCATAAAGAATTAGAACAATTCAGAAATATATAAAGGACAAGGTAAAAATTTCCCTTCCCTCCTCCTTTCTCCCCCCATGCCTCAGAGGTAAACCACTTTTAACAGTTTAGTTTCTATCCTTGCAGACCTTTCTCTACACGCATTCAAAACAGCTTTTTAACTAATGGTCCCACAACTAGCCTTTTCATGTCACAGCGTAGCTTGGAGACATTTCCTTACTGGTACATAGGGGTCTGCTGCATTTTAAGAAAGCTGCCCAAATAGTTCACCTATAGAAGTACCATAATTTACTTTGCGGTTCCCGTTAGCAGATATTTACGATGGTTCGATCACTTGTACAATAGTCTTTCTGCATGAGCATTTCTCCTAGATGGTATCATAGAAGTATAATTGTGTGACAAACGGGATGTGCATCCTAACGCTGTGAGAGATGCTGGAAATCGCCTCCCTTTTAGAAGGGTCTAATCATGACAGCCCCACCAATAGTGTGCTTGGTGTGAAAGCTTGCCACAGTTGTGGGACAGTGGGTTGTCTGGCAACCTAGTGGTTGCCAGTTGGTTGTAGGACCCAACAGTCTTGGGTTCAAATCCTAGCTCTGCTACTAACCAGCCATGTGGTCTTTGCTGAGTGGCTTACTGTGTCTTTCTGCTATAGTTTTCTCATCGATAAAATGAAAATGATGATGACAATAGGCCTCTCCTGCTGAGTTTTTAGAGCATTTAAAAAAAAATGAAATAGTGCATATAAAACACTTAGCGTAGTACCTGGTACAGAGTAAAGTGTACAGTAAGTGGTAACTCGTTATTACTGTGATTTACTTCGGCCTTCCCCTATTGTTGGACATTTAAATGGCTGAAATTCTTTTAACAGGCTTTCTTCAAAGAGCTTTATCAGTTTTCCCCTTTAATTGGACAGCTTTTAAAAGTTTAAATGTTTATTTAATATTCAAAAAATCTGCGGCGCCTTGCTGGCTCAGCTAGTGGAACATGTGGCCCTTGATCTCTGGGTTGTGAGTTCGAGCCCCACATTAGGTGTAGAGGTTACTTAAAAAATAAAATCTTTAAAAATATATTTAAACAATTTAACAGTAAGAAATACCCATGACCCCTGTCATGTCAACACAACACATTTTTCCTTTTTTCAGATCTGAATATGTCTTTATTTTTCAGAAAGTGATTTCCAGGAAGGTTAAAAAGCAATACCAGAGGGTATAGGTGCAGAATTGGATGTAGTCATTCAAATCATTCAATTAAGAATATGATGGAGAGCCTGGGTGGCTCAGTCGGTTAAGCATCTGACTCTTGATTTCAGCTCAGGTCATGATCTCGGGATTGTGAGATCGAGCTCCATGTTGGACTCCATGCTCAGCGGAGGGTCTATTTAAGATTCTCTCTCCTTCTCCCTCTGCCCCTCCCTGCTTGCTCTCTCTCTCTCTCTCTCTCTCTCTCTCGCTCAAAAAAAAAAGAGAGAATATGGCTGGCTCAGTCGGTGGAGTATGTGACTCTCGATCTCAGGGTTGTGAGTTTGAGCCCCACATGGGGTGTAGAGATTACTTAAAAATAAAATCTTAAAAAAATAAAAGAACACGGCAATACAAATAACTGAAAAGCATCTCTTAGGTGTTTGAAACGCAAAGTATATAAGTCATTCCTAACTAACTTGAGCTTTATAGCATTTCCTAGTCAGAAGAAACAGTTAACATCTGAAAGTCCTGAAAGCTTTTTCCTTGGCTAGTTACATTAGATGGTTTGCCTTGGATCAAATTCCTTCCTTTTTAAACATGGATAAAGGACAACACTTCTTATAATTAAGCACATGGCTTCCCCTGCACATCCATACATATACAAAGTTTTTATGACAATGTGTGTGCCAATACCTTCACTTGTATACCAGTCGCTCTAGGTGCAATTACATGGGTATTTCGGGGCAAAGATGGAGAAAGTTATGACAAAGTGACATCACAGAGCAGGCCCAAGACCACACAGAATTTGAGAAAGTAATATTCATCTGAACAGATGCCATACTGTTTCTTTGCTTTTCCAGGAAGTGACTCCATAGTCTGGGATCTAATGTTGATTTCCGTCACCTTCAGTGCTCTCTCGTGATTTTCCAGATGGATAGTCTCCTGGGCTCCACTTCGGAAGAGCTAAGAAAATGCTAGCATCTCAAATTATGCAAGTGAGGGGCATGGGGTGGCTTCCTGTATTGCAGAGGCCATTTACGAAGAATGCAAGATGCCACCCAGGGGGCCAAGCTGGAAACAGAAAGTCAGCCTTGGCATTAGGCTAGCCCGTAACGAGAACTAAATGGTTTGCCAAAGTCACACATGTAAAAAATAACCGAGTTTACAAGCACCCGGGTAGCCTGGCCTCTGACTTCGGGACATGCATCGCCTCAGGCATCTGATTAGAGGAAAGCTGCGCACAGATGCTCTGCAGCTGAGGCAGGGCTCCCGGAGTTTAAAGGAGGACAGAGAGAAAGCCTCACGCAGCGGAAACACGCCATAAGGGGCTCCGCCAGGGGCTCTACTTCAACGTAAAGCTCCAAAAAGCAAAGCCCGCCCCCTCTTCCTTGTCACTCTGTTCAGACGGAGGCCTCCGGGCTCACTGCTCTGTGGCTGGTCTGGGCCTCACTAAGATGCCCATGAACTCTGCAGCCAACAGAGAAGGTCACTGGGAGCTCCTTGCCAGGTGTTTCTTTCCTTAGTGGGACGACAACGATGTCCCTCCCATAATTATCACTATAGATATTAATACACGATAGCATATGTACAGCTGTGCATCCCCAGAAGCCAGCATGGTGCCTGGCATGGAGAGATGCACAAAAATGCCTTTTATAAGCCTTAACGATATTCAAAAATATCTTTCTGAACAATATAGATGCTCAAAAATACCTTCTTTGAAACAATTTCATGCCATCACACTCGCAGGAAACATCCACGTTATTATGGCACACTCAAGCGAATTGGAAGGGACTGGGGGACATCTGTGTGGGGCTTGATGGAAAAAGTAATTATGTTTTCTTTATATTAAGAAGTATAAAAATAAAATATAAAGTCATTAGAGAACATATTAAATACTGAATTTGTATAAAATTTTCCAAATAAAATATCTTCAAATTTTTAATGAGAAACTTGAGCTTGTTTCCATGAACATACTTTAAAAAAAATTTTATAGTATATTTATTTAACCTCATATATCCACAATATTATGATTTCAATATGTCATCAATATAAAATTAAATAATGAGATATTAAATAATAATTACATTAATAATGAGATATTTTACATTCTTTTTTTTTTTCTTTTACATTCTTGTTTTCTTACTAAGTCTAGCGTGTATTTTCACTTGTAAGTGAAATACAACACATCTCCATTTGGACCAGGCACAGTTCAAGTGCTCAGTGGCCACACATGGGCAGTGGCTGCCTGACGGCCCAGCGCTACTCTGTAGTGGGATAGTAAATATAGCCCGGGCATAATTCTTTTAAACCTTTTTTATATGTCTCACAATGGCAATAAGTAATTGCCAAGGGAGATTTTAAAATAATGATCTATTCAAGTTTTTGGTTATCACCATCAATGAGAAATTTTGCCCGAGGAGGAGATAAAAAAATTTTAAAGTGTTTTTATCACCCTTCAAATTTTTACAGCAGTTGAAATTATCTTTAAAGAGTTTAACAGCTCCTATGGAAATTTCTTGTGATAAGGCAAAGGATTTCAAACCCATCCAACTTTTTCACACCAACTATTTCAAGATAATGCTGATGGTCTAGTTAGCAGAACAGGCACGTGTTGTTAGAGCAGTCCCCACGCCCCGGGCTTGGCCACAGCTCCAAAGGCACACGGGCCGCAGAAGGACAGATTCCAGCAGGGGGGACGACAGAGATCTGGGACCCAGCCCGATGCAGCCCCTCCAGCAGCCGCCCCCTCCCCGCATCCCATTCTCTAGCCTGAGCTGACTGCCGGGGCTCCCAGGACATTCGAGACATAAACCCCAGCACTTCCTTGGGCCCCTGCTCCACCTTGTGCAGAGTTGGCGCATTTGGGGCATGGGGCATCCAGTGACGGATGTCACTCCTTTTTATCCCTCTCATACTAGCCCCTCTGCACCCCACGCTGTTACAGCCGCTCTCCAAGGAGACCAGGTGCCGCTGCTCACAGCCAGAAGGGACTGCCCAGGTGGCTTGCCCACTGCAGACCCATCGTGCCCATGGACTGGGGTAGTCAGTGACACTGAACCCCCACGGTCGCCTCATGCAGTCAGGAGGCTCTGGTGTAACGGACACTGCACAGATTCCACTGTCTGCCTCCTTCTTGCTAACGCTGTGCTGCCACTTTGTACCTCGGTGATCTCGGGCAAGTTATCTAACCTATATGCCTATATGGACTTTAGTTTTCTCTTTTTTATTTTATTATTATTATTATCATTTTGAGAGGGAAAGGGGAAAGGGGCAGAGGGAGAGAGAGAGAGAGACTCAAGCAGACTCCATGCTCAGCACGGAGCCCG